AACCGCCAGAAACAAGTGAACCTATTACGCCACCCTTTTTCCGCGACACTCCTATGCCCCCTGTTCCCGTGTGCTTTCCCTTCCCCCTTGCCGGCTGGCCCTTTTCGATTTCCTTTTCAGTCTTCTTCCAGTCCCCGCAACTCCGTGTTGTTTGTAACTCTTTTGAGTTACATATTTTTATCCTGCAATAAACTCTCTTGTTCTCCCAACTTTGTTCAGGCACTCAAGGGACCCAACGGTCCGATCGCAAAGCGTCCCTTTGGATCGCGACCAGCACTTTGACAAGAACTCACGCACAACCAAGCTCCACAACAACTGGCGATCAAGGATTCGACTTTGTGCTGCTGAACAATGGACGACCCCGACTTCAAGGCGATGCTGAAGGAGATGACCGCCATGATGAAGGCAGGTCAAGAGCGCGAGGCCAAGATGATGGCCGAGCTCGAGAAGATCCGCGCGGAGGCCCCAACGCACATGGGCTCCGTTAGCGAAGATTCAAGCCAAGCACCCAGGCCTCTGAATGCTGTCGAGATCGGCGCCCTAGCCACTCGCATCAGCCGGTTCGAGTATGACCCGTCCCAGGGGATTACTTTCGACAAGTGGCACGAGCGATTCAATAATCTCGTGGCCACCGAACCGCGCATTTCCGAAGCGAACAAAAAGCACCTTGTTCTCGGAATGCTGGACGCTAAAGCATACGGATTGCTGGCGGATCACGCTCGTCCCAAAGAGCTATCCGATGTCGACTACAAAGACATTGTCAAGTATTTGACAGAGATGTTCGGTGAAAAGCTGTCGCTTTTCAGCCGCCGATACCAAGCCTTTCGCGTGGCGAAAGAGGTCGACGAGGACATGCGCTCATACGCAGCTCGCGTGAATAAGCTCTATGAACAGGGCCGCGTCAAAGAGATGAAAGAGGATGAAGAAAAGTGCCTACTTTTCGTCGCTGGATTGTCCGATCAAGCACATCGCGACATACGCAAAAAGCTTATCCGTATCCTGGAGTCAAAGGATGCCGTGAAGCTGGACGATTTGCTGCGCGAGTGTGACTTGCAAACCACTCTGAACATGGATGTTGTTGTCGAGCAACATGCCAATATCAATCGGATCCAAGCATCGGGATCGCGAAAGACGTGGAAAGAACAGCGAGGCCTTACCTCTAGCAATGGTCGGCCTCAGCCTACCTCCAATGATCGCCCCCGAGTTGACAAACGGAATGACATCTGTCATAATTGTGGGAAACGCGGACACTGGCGCACCGAGTGTCGCGCTGGAAGTTCTGAAAAGAACCAAGGAAATAATTTCTCGAGGCCGAGAGATTCAAAGGCCAATAAACAGTGGAAGCCGAAGGTGAACGCGATAATTCACATCAATGCTGTCGACTCAACGCGCAAAGACGTTGAACTTTCGATCGATGGCATCGCTTTTACTTTGCAGTTGGACACGGGCGCTACCGTAACGCTGATTGATGAAGTTTTGTGGACTAAATTGAATTGTCCGCCACTTCAACCTTCTGATATACAACTACGTGCCGCCAATGGTGGGCCAATTGAAGTGAAAGGTTGCTTTGATACCAGGTTCAAAGTGAAAGGCATTGAAGGTCAAGGCAAATGCTTTGTTACCAAGAACATTCGCTTGATGGGGCTTGATTGGATTGATCAGCTGCCACAATTCGCTTCTTGTTTTGATGAGTTGTGTATTAACAAGGTCACACTCAAGCAATCTGCACTCGAAGAAGAGTTGCTCAAGAAGTTTCCGAACGTCTTCAAGGACGGCTTAGGCTTGTGCACAAAGGCCAAAGCTGAACTTCAGCTAAAGCCTGATGCGCAGCCAATATTTTTGCCATTTCGACGTGTTGCATTCTCAATGGAAGCAGCCATTGAACAAGAGATCCAGCGACTTGTTGATTTGACGGTTCTGAAACCGGTCACGTACAGTCAATGGGCTGCACCCGTCGTACCTGTCAAAAAGAAGGACGGTTCTATGAGACTTTGTGGAGATTTTTCTACCGGCTTGAACGCAGCTTTGGAGGATTATCACCATCCACTCCCCACTGCTGAAGATATTTTCACCAAGCTGAACGGTGGAAAGTTTTTCTCTCAGATTGACTTGAAGGATGCATATTTGCAGATTGAGGTTGAGGCTGATAGCCAAGAATACCTAACTATCCACACTCATAAAGGCTTGTACCAATATCAACGTTTGATATTCGGTGTGAAGACTGCTCCTGGTATCTTTCAGAAGATAGTGGATAATTTGATCGCAGGCCTGGACGGGACCGCTGCCTACCTGGATGATATTCTCATCACCGGCCGTACCCAGGAGGAGCATGACGACAGGGTCCGTCGTTTATTTGAGCGAATCCACGAGTTTGGATTGCGCGTCAAAATGGAGAAGTGCGCTTTTGGCAAGGCTTCGGTGAAGTATCTTGGTTTCATATTGGATTCACAAGGCCGAAGACCGGATGCCCAGCGTACGGCTGCGATAGCAAACATGCCACAACCGACATGCCTCAAGGAAGTTGAAAGCTTCTTGGGCATGGTCTCGTTCTATCAGTCATTCATTCCTCGTATGCGGCAAATGCGCGCCCCGCTTGACGAGTTGAAAAGGAAAGACACAAAGTTTGTCTGGCACGAGGGCTGCGAAAAAGCTTTCCAGTCGCTCAAGGATATTGTAATATCTGATCTCTTGCTTTGCCACTATGACGCCAAGTTGCCAATCGTCGTCGCCGCTGATGCAAGCGAGCAGGGACTTGGGGCGGTCATTACGCACAAGTTTGCGGATGGTTCGGAGAAGGCCATTTCACATGCCAGCAGAGCATTGACCGTGGCAGAGAAGAATTACAGCCAGATCGAAAAAGAAGGTTTAGCCCTCATTTTCGCGATTCGGCGCTTCCACCGCTACATCTATGGAAGGCGTTTCGTGCTATTGACGGATCACAAACCTCTTTTACCCATCTACGGGTCGAAAAAAGGCATTCCGCAGCACACCGCAAATCGACTGCAACGGTGGTGCTTGTTTTTGAACAACTACGACTTTACGATTGAATATCGTAATACAACCAAGTTCGGTCAAGCGGATGCACTTTCCCGTCTGATTCCGCCGAGAACTGAGCCCGATGAAGACATCGTTATTTCGCAGATAGAAATCGATGTTGCGGCAGTTTTCGAGGAAAAATTGAGCCAAGTCCCAATTTCGCAAAAAGAAATAGCAATTCAAACGGAGCAGGACCACACACTTGGTGCTGTGATTGAATATATCAAAGTTGGAACTTTTCCAGACTGTTTGCCAGGCTCCGCTCTGTACGCATTCAAAAGTCTAGTTCCCAACCTGTCGATACATCAAGGTTGTTTATTCTTGAAAGAACGAATTGTTGTCCCGAAAAGACTTCAATTGCGTGTCCTGAAAATGCTCCATGAAGGACATCCTGGTCAGACCAGAATGAAATTGCTCGCGAAACAGTATGTTTACTGGATTGGCATGGACACAGACATCGACCGCATCGTGAAAGAATGCGATGGCTGCCAAAAAGCCCAGAAGATGCCTGTGAAAAGTGAATTGACCCCGTGGCCTATACCCAATCGTCCAATGGAGCGCGTGCACATTGACTACGCCGGCCCCATTGATGGTCGAATGTACCTGGTATTTGTTGATGCCTACTCTCGTTGGCCAGAGATCCACGATTGTAAGGTCGCAACCAGTCGTACGACGATTGCCCAATTGAGAGATATTTGCTCTAGGTTTGGAGATCCGGAAACCCTTGTTTCGGATAACGGTACTCAATTTACTTCAAAGGAGTTTGAAGAATTTTGCACTGAGCGTGGAATCAAACATCTACGTACGCCCCCATTTCACCCTCAATCGAATGGTTTGGCTGAACGCTTCGTTGACACATTCAAGCGAGCTTTGAGCAAAGCTCCCGGATCGCTCAACGCTGAAACACTGCAAATCTTTTTGCGCAGTTACCGGTCCACACCGTGCCCTTCTTCGCCGAAACAGCTATCTCCGGCTGAAATGTTTATCGGGAGAAAGCTTGTTACTCCTCTTGTTCGGTTGGCTCTGTCCAAGAGCAACGACAAGACCTGTCTGAAAGTCGCTCTTCAAAAAGAGGGGAAGACGACGATGGTTGAGCAATTTAACCGGAGACATGGTGCCCGAAAACGATCATTTGAAGTCGATGCCAATGTCTGGGTGCGCGATTATCGCAAGCCAAACAAACCAGCTTGGATCGAAGGTCGTATTTCAAAAGTACTTGGTCGTTCCATGTATGAGGTTTCTAACACCTCTGGAGACATTTGGCGCAGGCATGCCAATCAACTGAGAAATCGCTATGTTCGCGATTTGCTCGAGGATATTCTAGATGAGTTCGATCTGCCTAGAATCCCGGAAGTCAATGTGCAGGGTCCCAACCCACCTCTTGACCAAGCGTTTGTGCCACCCGGAGACGACAAGGATGCCGCCAATAATGCCACTCCCAATTCGGTACCCAAGTCGCCCATTCCCAATGTTCACCATCATCCCGCTCAATCGCGTAACACGACTCCCGCGAAGTCGTCGCCAAGGCCAACAAGATCGGCAACCCCTCGAAACGGACCACCGCGTGACGAAGGCCATGAGCAAGCAGAGGCGTCGCCTGAACGACCCGCTCCACGACCAGATGGAGATTTGCCCGCTTAGATTTAATCTAATTGAGCTTCAGCACAACTGTAACCCACGTCTTGACCACGGGAACCAATCAAAACATTGATATTTCAAGCGGCTATGAAGATTCAACCTGACGTTGAGATAATTGTCTCGTAATCAATGCCGCGTAAATACCGACAGGCAATCCGGCCAGTTTTTATTTTCAACAACAAATTAATAAATTGTCAACTCGATCGAGAAAGAAGACATTCAAGCACCTTGGAAAATGCAAGAATACGTAATAAACAACAACTTTTGGCGTAATTTGAAAGATAAGTCCATCGGAATGCGCAAAGAGAAACAAAAACAACAACTCAGGCATAAAGCCTCGACCAAGCGTTGGTACCGGCGATTTCCCAGACGACGTTGTAAGCGGCGAGTTGAGCCGGAGGGTTTCGTTGATAATGGCGAACGAGCTGAAAATAGAATGAAATTCTAATTGAATCAATTAAATATACAGGGTGTCCCAAACCCCCCACCCCTCGGCATTTGGCCGTCTTTTATCGGTTCGGGACCGATTTTTTTAAGCAAAATATTGTAAAACAAAAAAGTTGTCGTAAAGAACTGCTTTTTGGGAAATGCTGATACTCATTGTTGGCTATGTTTTCGCAATTAGCATGCCGATTTTGAGTAATTTCTCAAAAAGATCATTTGCGGCTCGGTTTCGGCTCTCTTTGATATTAAAAAGAGATCAAAAGGCCCAATTTCGACGTATTTTTCGTAATAAAAAAACTTCTACGGATGGAAAAAAGTGTCCTCTTCATTTTTGCTAAACATTTCGAGGTCCAAATCCATCAAAATCCTAGTGAAGTCGGCAAAATAAACTTTAATTTCGATAGAATTTTTTGTTTTACAATACTTTGATTATAAAATTCGGCTGCACATAGTTTTTATTGATCCCCATCGCTGGTAAAAATTCGGCCCCCATCGGATAGAAGACGGCCAAATGCCGAGGGGGGTTTGGGACAGCCTGTAAATTTTTTATATAAATTATATAAGGTATGATAGATAATAACCCGAATTAATGCTATTCCTGCATCGAATTTGACTAACAAAATCCCAACAAGTCGCCCGAATTTAAAAAGAAACAAACATTTATGGCCGCTTCAGCTGATTCCATATATGCAAAGACGAGTTCATGCTGCTCTCCTTTCCAATTCCTCGATTCCGATACGAGCTTGGGCCTAAAAATAAAAACCATCAACCGGCCAATCGACCCACATTTCATTCACATAAATCATTTTACTGCCAGCTAGCTCGATCAACGGTGGGAGTAGCCACGAGCAGCCGGCTGGCAAACCCCGAATGCAGACCACAGTGTCGTGGAACTAAAAAAGTAAAATTAGGAACGAGCCTATAAATTTGCCTTTTGAATTTGGACACTGGGCACCCGAACCGGTTTGGCCCTCTTCTCGGCAACCATCTCTGCCGTCTGCCGCACGAATTGGGGCTTTCCATTGCTATCGACGTCTTTCGATCCACACTTCCTATGCTTGACCGTCACAGTGACAACATCTTTCTTCGATTTCGGCGTGACGACAGGCGCCACGGCAAGCTCGGCAAGATGCGAAAGACTCTGAAAAATTAGGGTTTATAGAATGCGCATATTTCCTTTTTGAGCCCACAATGACCGCTTATGTTTTTGACTACGTTCATTTTACGCACAAATTTTTTGTTGTTGCTATTAGTGCTAATTTGTTTCGGCTAAATGGCAATCGATTCGTTATACTTTTTGGAATCGAGATAGCTGCGGTAGAATTGCCCGCCAAGCTTGATTTTGAGGACAAATCTTAGGACAAATGTTTTTAACTAACGGAATTTAGTTTTATCAAACGTTAAAAATCTTAACTAAAAACATCTCCGGGCTCACCTGCTTTTTGCTCGACTTCAGCAACTTCTTAGAATTCTCCATCACCATCCGCGCAACCCGCACCTCGCTTCCGGCAATCGGCTTCGCGGCCGCTTTTGTCGCTCCTTTATCGGCTTTCGGGAACACATTCTTGCTACACCGCACGCACTGTGCCGGTTTCTGGAGATACACAGGAATTACTATCCTTGAATTTGGCCAACCTTCTCAAGCTTATTTCCATTGTTGGGGACTGTAGGAAGAGCGGCCGTCTGACTTGCCACGTTACGCTTCTTGATGGCATCGGTACGAGTGTAGTGAGCCGGAATATTTCGGATCGTCACTTTGTTCCGCGTAGACTAAAAAGGCCAGTCAGTTATTCAAAGTGGCGACAACGCATTTTCCACTGCTTGCATATAAAAAGCACCTCTTGCATCGTATCTTCGTTGACCACCGGCACTTTCGACAGCCGCGTTCCAAACATGCCGAGATATTCTTGAAATTCAGCAACAGCCTAAAAAGGTTGTCATTAGCGGTCTTTGGTAAAATCATTTACCTGTCCCACGGCAAGTGCGCCTTGATTTACTTGAAATCCTTGAAGTTCCGCGATTAAGCAGCGGTACTCGTCATTTGCCTAAATTCAAACATGTATTTTCTAAAATGAAAAGAACACCAGCTTTTGCATATCCGGATTCTCTGGTACCATTGATAGACCAGCGGTTCGAGAGCTCAACATCGCTCGCTGCGCTTTCTCCGCCTAAAAAGGCAGCTGCATAGCCAAAAAAAAATCGGTACCGTAGTCTGCAATCGTTTCGATTCTTCCAGCAGCGTATCAACCTAAACGAAACATCCGCTTTGGCAACAAGGCCTTCAAAACCGACCTTAGCCTGGAACTCTTGTAACTCCTTTGGCTCGAAGAGAAGTTCCACGCTTCTCTTGGGTCCATTGAGGCACCGTGGCATTGTTCGTGCTAAAAAACAGTAGGATCAAATAGCAACTAGGTTAGACTGCATGGACGAAAAGAAAAAGACCCGAAAATGTGAGAAAGCAGTAAAAGTAGTAGGAAAGTACTGTTTCTCGTGGAAACGAAGAGGAAAAGATGCCGTCAAGTAATAATACCGGTAAAATTCTTTATCCTTGTCAAAACAATAAGTCGCCTAATCGGCCCAAAGAAGAAAAAGAACAAAAAGGCAACTTGAGAAATGCAGGAATACACGTAATAAAAAAACTCGTGTTAAATCGATACCGAAAATAGGCGGGCTATACAAAAATAATGGTTAGTAAAAAAGCAATTCAGGCTTCAAGCTGCGATCAGGTGTTGGTACCGGCGATTTCCCATACGAGCTTCTATTTTCCTTTCATTTAGAAAGCTATCGAATTAGTATTCAAATATGAGGAAACGGAGAAATCAAGCACAGGAACAAAACCATAACAGATCAGAGCCGCGACCAAAGGTTCGTGCCGGCGATTTCCCAGACGAGCTTATGATCGGTGAGCAGCGGTGGGTTCTTCTGATATTTGTGGACGAGCTGAAAAAGTGAGCATAAAACCTTATTTTGTATTTTATTCGCCAACATTCGAATCTCGAACTGGGTGCTAATGAGCGCAAAAATCCCACATTTGAGGCGGCCGCCTTCGAAGTCATATGCGCAAAGATGAGATAATGATGTTTTCCATTCCATTCACGCGTGAAGCAGACGAGCTTCGGCCTGGAACACGTGAATGAGAGGTTTACTGATATTATCTGTTAGTTGGAAAAAAATCACTATCATAAACTGAAGTGCTTACTTTCCATTTTTATAAATAAGGTCACCGCCATTCGGGTCGATGAAAGGAAGGAGCTGCGCTGAGGAACCAGGCGGCATGCCACGAATGCAGACCACAGTGTCGTGGAGCTAGATAGAACGATTCCAAAAAGATCGACCCGGACGCACCTTGACCTTGCCCTTTTTGCATGCGTTGCTGAGGGTCCGGGCATTTTTCTGGACCGCGTTTGATTCGGCACCGGAGCTAGTTTTAACCGAATTTTCGGCAACTTTCGGGAACACATCCTAAAGAATTCATAGATTTGTGCTAATCGTAAGCACTACCTGGCGGTGAACTCGGTTTGACCATGGGTCGGGTGGAGCTGAGACCGCAGATGGCTAATAAAAAAGATTGATTAATCGGAGCTGATTAGTCACCTTGAAATCCGGCTCCGTTAAAAGTGTTGCCATCAAGGGTGGGATCACCTTTCCGCCAAACCAGGGACGGCTCCTTGCTTGCTCCGTAGCGGTTTCCTTTAAACGGGTCTGCTTCAGGATATCCACGGAGACGAATAATTCGCGATTGTTCTCGATGCGGCCATGATGTCGTGCTGCAACCTAAATCACACTGAAATAGATAAACAGGCCAAGAAACCCGCCTCTTCCGCCGCTTCAGCCGACTGCATATAGGCGATCATCTTTTGGCTGCCATCATCGTTGATGCGCAGCAGGCAGTCTGGGCTGAAAACAGGTTAATGCAAGTTGGCTTTGAATCAAACCAGTCATCCCAATGAATCAAATCGCGACCATCATCAAGAAATCGGTGAATGGCCTCAGCTTGCGTGTAGTGAGCCGGAATATTTTGGATCGTCACTCGGCTTCGATTAAACTAAAGAGAAAATTGTGTACAAAACTGGCAGGATCTACTATTCCGATTGTATCAACTGAAACAAAATTTGAAAAAAGCCAAAAACTCCACTTTGGTTATCGACGTTTGGGTTTCTTCCAAAACCTCCATTGGCTGTTTCGACAGCCGCCTTTTGAGCACTTCCAACTCGTCGTTGAACGCGGCCATCGCCTAACAAAAGTAAATAGAAGAGCCTTAACCCAACCTTGATGGCAGCTTCTGCTTCTTCTCTGAATGGCAAAACGCGAAGCTGGTCGATTAGCGCATGGTACTCGACTTTTACCTAAAAAATATTGCTAAATATGAATTAAAACAACCATATTATTCATTCCCGATCGATCGCCGGATGGTAGATCTGCTTCCTTCTTCTTGTCAATTAACCTTTTCGCTGCCCTAGCCTAAAAAGAGTTTAGTTTAACTAAATTTAAACACCGTTTTGCGCAATTCCGTCGCATAGGTCGCAAACTGATCGCTCTAAAACAAATACAGATGCGCAGGAAAGGATTACCAGTTGAGACAACCTCTGAAGCGCCTCGTACTAGAAAAAAACTTTGCATTTGGTATAGAAAAGGTTGATTACCTCTTTCTCGTCTGTCATTCTGGCCGACAAAGTGTTTGTACGGGCGGGTTTTTAGCCCTCAGGCAGGTTGATTCCCGGGGCGCGCAATAGCAGTGACAGCCTTTTAGGTCGCGTAATGCAACTGATTACTCGATGTTTTGTTGAAACAAAAACGATTATAAGTGTAAGAAACTATATTGCTTTGATCGCAAGTTTATTTTAACGGCAAGAATCAACTATAATAAAAAAGTAGTGGTGTCTGTGTGTGTGTCCGGTCCCGGATTCAACTCGAAGGGGAAAGGAGCTAGAGCTTAGCTCTCTTCGGATTCGGATAGAGCGTGGTCAGAAACCCCCAAACTGATAAAAAAATTACGAAAAAATTTTAATTTAAATTATTAAAATTAACTTTGAAAGTGGCGCCTTAATAAAACGAGTGGGGGCCCCTCTCCCCGGGAGGCCACGCCCCCTTTCTCTTCGCCCCTCTTCCCCAGGCCCCTTCGCGCGCCCAGATGCCTTTTTGAGTTACTTTAATACTTTTAATACTTTTTAATTATGTTAATTAATTATTTAAATTATTTAAAGTATCTAAAGCCATCAGGAAGGTATTTAGGTAGTTTTTGAAGGGATTTCAGCCATGGGGGGTATCTGAAGCCATCAGGGAGGTATCTAAGTAGTTTTTGAAGGTGATTTCAGCCATGGGGGGTATCTGAAGCCATCAGGAGGTATCTAAGTAGTTTTTGAAGGATTTCAGCCATGGGGGTATCTGAAGCCATCAGGAAGGTATTTAGGTAGTTTTTGAAGGGGATTTCAGCCATGGGAGGTATCTGAAGCCATCAGGGAGGTATCTAAGTAGTTTTTGAAGGGATTTCAGCCATGGGGGGTATCTGAAGCCATCAGGAAGGTATTTAGGTAGTTTTGAAGGGATTTCAGCCATGGGGGGTATCTGAAGCCATCAGGAAGGTATTTAGGTAGTTTTTGAAGGGGATTTCAGCCATGGGGGGTATCTGAAGCCATCAGGGAGGTATCTAAGTAGTTTTGAAGGGGATTTCAGCCATGGGGGTATCTGAAGCCATCAGGAAGGTATTTAGGTAGTTTTTGAAGGGGATTTCAGCCATGGGGGGGTATCTGAAGCCATCAGGGAGGTATTTAGGTAGTTTTTGAAGGATTTCAGCCATGGGGGGTATCTGAAGCCATCAGGAAGGTATTTAGGTAGTTTTGAAGGGATTTCAGCCATGGGGGTATCTGAAGCCATCAGGAAGGTATTTAGGTAGTTTTTGAAGGGGATTTCAGCCATGGGGGTATCTGAAGCCACAGGGAGGTATTTAGGTAGTTTTTGAAGGGGATTTCAGCCATGGGGGTATCTGAAGCCATCAGGAAGGTATTTAGGTAGTTTTTGAAGGGGATTTCAGCCATGGGGGTATCTGAAGCCATCAGGGAGGTATCTAAGTAGTTTTTGAAGGATTTCAGCCATGGGGGTATCTGAAGCCATCAGGGAGGTATTTAGGTAGTTTTTGAAGGGGATTTCAGCCATGGGGGGTATCTGAAGCCATCAGGGAGGTATTTAGGTAGTTTTTGAAGGGGATTTCAGCCATGGGGGGTATCTGAAGCCATCAGGGAGGTATTTTGGTAGATTTTTAACGGAATTTCGACCCGGAGGGGTATCTGAAGCCATCGGGAAGGTAGCTATGTTTTTGTGGGGGGGGTTGGCTAGAGGAGGTATCTGAAGCCATCAGTGTAGTTATTGCCATGAAGGCATCAGCGTAAGGTAGGGATTAAATGTGGTGGTGTAGAATATGGAGGGTGGCCCGAAGTCCAGCCGATTGCAGTCGCGAAGCGGCTGTAATCGGCTGGTAGTATAATAATGCACGACGGCCGATTGTATATATGATCAGGGCAGGGCTTTACAACGGGGCGATAAAACCTTTGCTTGCTTGTACGTATAAAACCAAATATCTTAGAAAAAGCAAGACGCATCCGCAAGGGAGACATTATCAAATATATTTTGTCGAGCCTTCTAGCTTCTCGGCTTGACAGCACGGGTGCAATCAACGGAAAAAATTTTGGGCCAAAATCATGACTATGTATGCTTCGCGCAAAATTTTACCGATACCTTTCCGGACTCGACGACCACTCTGAATAAAGTATTTCATATTTGTAAAAGTATGCTTTGTTGTAACCGGAACCAAGGCAGGCCTGTTGTTCAGAATTCTCCTGCTGCCGGACAGCGTAAGATCAGCGCTAAAACTATGCTTACAGGAAGTTCGCCTTGGAAAGAAAGAAGCGGCTTAGTTTTGGATAGTTCTGGTCTATTTGTTGAAAACCTCCTAGTTTCTCAGCCCAACCTTGTTCGATTCATAATTGCGCTTCTTAAACCTATGTGACCTTAGGAAACCCTACTTTTCATCGTGTATCGCTCGGAAGTGTGGCCTGAAAGCTTCTTGAGTGGATACCCTAAAGTCATAAGTCAGAACTGATTTTAGAATTCCCCTGTTAATCCTGATGCACCCTTGTGTGATGCGTCTTGCTGTTTCCAAAATATTTGGTTTTATACGTACAAGCAAGCAAAGATTTAGCGCCCCGTTGTAAAGCGTCGACCCTAGCAATAAGCCGTTGTCCATGTGATTATACTATTCTTGTAGCTGTAACTGTAAGATAAAATAAACCGACGCAGGAAAAGAAACCGGCTCCAGTCCGGGGGTCCGTTTGCACCGCAGCGTCCAGAGGCGCCTCTCGGAATCTGATCCATGACTTTTCAAATAGAATTTTTAACTTCGAAACTTTAAAAAATTAGAATTCTTAAATTAGCTTTTCCGATCGGCGCCTCGAATTTCGCATAAAAACATTCAATATGTCCACAAAGAATGGATTTGCGGGCTAAAACAATAAAAGCCATTTCGCTCGTAGAATATGGCGCGGAGTGGTGAGTGACGTACAAATTTCCCTTCATTTTTTAGCGCTTCACCCGAAAGAGCATCCAGGGATTTGCCTATTTACAATTGTAAGTTTTCACGTTTTTTTCCTACACAAAACGGTGCAGCCAGGTACAAAACTGCGTCGATATCGATCGATATCGTATCGATCGGGTGACGGTTGTGCGTTTGCAACCAGTTGAAGCGATATTTTGCAATCATCTAAGGCAAAAATATAATTAAAAGTTTGGCTACGGTTTACTTTACCCCCCCAGCCGGAAGTTTTTGGCTATAACTTTTTTATTTTACATTATTGTAGGCTCAAATTAAAACTCTTAGTATATTTTTCGACGCTCTATCGAATGGCGTTGCGAAAATCCCGACAAAATAAGCGAAAGTACCGACAACTTTGAGACCCTTCGGCTGTGGGGGGGTAAAGTAAACTCTTACCAAAAGTTTTTTTAGTCTGTCGCCACGCTGACGGTTTATTGGATCATCGTTTACGAGATGTGGGCACGGCTACAGAAAATGATGCTCGTTCATTGCTGGTGGGCTCGGGAAAAAGAAGCGGCTGGCGACGCTGTATTCAAAAACCACTTGAAATCACCATTTCAGGAGGAATCTCGATGACGCCGAATGCCACGAGCCCGTTTCTTCTTCGGAATTATGGACCGAGGTTGAGCTTCCAGTTTCTTTTGGAAGCAAATTCTTCAGCTTCTGGACGCCTTCGCCGTCAGCATCATCTACGGCGTCCTACCGGCTTGTTTGCTGATCGGCATCTGGTAAATACAATATTCAGCTCTCTAGTTTGATTTTCTCGTTATTTTGAAAGCTCTTTGACGTTAATAAGGTTAAAACATAAGATACTGTTTTAAAGTCTTTTGCAGGACCGCCGGCTTTACGTGGCAAGCGGGATGGCGGGTTTTCGTCAGGCCCGGCTTTTGCATGATCTACGCAATCTGCGGCTTTGTAAGAAGTTTTTTTTTGTACTATCGGAGGTCCTTCTATTTTGTAAATTTGTAAAGAGTTGGTTTTAGAAATACTGCCTATTATTTATAGCAGGAAAATTGGATCCTTGGACAACCTTAATCCGCCGATAATGCAAAAGAACCAAAGTTTTTCATAAAGTAAGGTCACGGTTTCGCATTTCAGCTCTTCGTGCTCGTCGAGCACCTCTGCGAGTTCTTCGACCGTTACTTGGACAAGGAGCAACCGGGCGAATGGCTCTTGGTCCGGTTGGTGATAGAGGATAAAAATGAATAATTAATGATTAAAAATGTGGAAAAACTATAACTATGTTCCAGAATGTTCTGGCCGACGGTTCGCGCCACCTTCAGCACGTACGCCTTCTGCAACATGTTTTGTGTGATTCGCATCTTTGACGGCATCAACGGCCGTGTCCGTGCCCGCCGCCGTTAATCTATTCGGGAAATGAGAAACCTTTTCTATTCGATTCATCTCATTTTATTGTGATCTCTGCTCGTAGCGTTTATCGTGTCGTTCAATAAATATTCGATGTGCGAGGTCCTACTCCTAGGGTCCCAATGTTATTTTAAAAGTAAATCATTACATGCACACGGTTTTCCGCCGTTTCCCGGCGGCTTTCAATACGGAAATCATAAAAATTCTTCGGATTTTCGAAAACGTGGAGATTATAAAAATCCTACAAATTATGAAAGTCATTAAAGTTTCGTGCTGTAAGTATTAAAGCCGACTTTCAAACGTACCCAAGGTTTACTAAAAACACGAAAATCGTTTAAAAAATGGAACGAAAAGCGCTCGAAAATTACTCGTTGACTAGAAATTAGCGAGCCCGTCGATTACCCCCCTCCCCCTCCTCCCAATAACAGCCCAGTACCGGGAAAAGCATCTTGTGCAGGGTGACAAGACTGTATATGAACATCACGCGCAATTTCCTCCCACTAGAGTCTCTTTTTGTGAAGAAAATGTAGGGCGATATTTTAATAAATACTTTGTGGTATTTGCGAACGACCTTGGTAATCCAATGGAAACCTAAAAAACTTTTTGCCTGCGAGATTCGGAATCAAAAATTTATTAGTATAAGATCTCTAAAAATATTATTAGTTGGCAGTGGTTTAGTGTCAATAGGATGCGTATTTAGCAGAGGTTACACGACTTGGCGCAGTACTGCTTGACTTGTTCCGGGGTGTAGTTGACACTGTTGCAGAAGTTGTTCGCCACCCAGGTCTTGCAGCTGAAAAGGATTGTTAGAGGGAGAGAGAGAGAGAGAGATAGAGAGAGAGAGAGAGAGAGAGAGAGAGAGAGAGAGAGAGAGAGAGAGAGAGAGAGAGGGACGAAGAGAGAACGGTATTTTGCGGCCCACTTGACACTCTCATCCTTGCATCCATCATCCTTCGGGCACAGGCCGCAGCTCTTGGCGCAGTAGTTGGCCACCTGCGACGCGTAGAAGCTATTCGTGCAGAAGCCGTTCTTGACCCAAGCGCCGCAGCTAGAAAGCGCATTTTATAAATTTATGATTCACGAAAATACAGCCGAAAATTCTTGAGACATACTAGGTGCTGTTGTCGGTGCAGATGACGGGTGTCGACTCGGGCTAAAAAATTTGGTGCTGTTCTATTTCGCGGGGGAAACTGCGCGGGGGAAAATTTTCTTCGGTTTGTTATAACTCTTTTATATTTTGCTATTTTGAGTTGTAATTAAAACTCTTAGTATATTTTTTGACGCTCTATCGAATGGCATTAAAGGAATTTTTAAAAATATCGAAAATGTCGAAAACTAGCTTTCGACTCCACGATCCCATGTGGAAACACCGAATAAACCTTATTTTTGCTATAACTATTTTATAAAACAATATTTTTAGATGAAATTAAAACTCTTAGTATATTTTTTGATGTTCTATCGAATGACGGGTTCAAAATATCGAAAAACGGGCGAAAATGCCGAAAACTAGCAGTTCGGCACCAGTTTCAATAGTTTTTTTGTTTTTGCTATAACCTTTTTATATTACAATATTTTTAGCTAAAACAAAAACTCTTAGTATATTTTTTGATGTTCTATCGAATGGCGTTGCAAAAATCCCGAGAAAATAGCGAAAAGATAGAAGTTTTGGCGAAGCATTATTCCCCCCCGCACAGTTCCCCCGCGAAATAGAACAGAACCAAAAATTTTTTTTGGCTGAGTTTTGGACTTTTAGCGCAGAAAAAACATGATTTGTAAGATATCGTACCCCAAAGCACTGGTTCATGCCATCGGACAAGTAGCACGTCTGTCCGGTCGGGCATTTGCCATCGGGCGATGCTATAAATTCGGGTCCAGCTGAAAAAAAACAGCTTACGGCCCCAGGATACGTCAGTGGAACCGGCGGGTGGTCCATCAGGGCAATCAGCGGCCAGGGTCTGAAAGTACAGGATTTTCTAAAAAATTTCAAGTGCGGCTGTGACTGACTTCCGCATGGGTTTAGGCATTGGCTTTGACGTATGCCTAAGCTTAGGCTCTGCTTAGGCATAAGCTTCGGCTTCGGATTAGGCTTATGCTACGGCGCAAGCTTAGGCTTAGGCTTGGGCTTAGGCTAAGGCTAGCTCACCTGTTGACAGGCCAAACCGAGAAGAGCGAGAAGAACAGCAGTTGAAGCTTGCATGGTAGAAGACCAGATGAATCAGATACCAAGCGTTAATCCACACACCCTTTTATACAGTATCGCCCAGCAAACCAAGCCCACATTGACCTTCAGAATATTTGCCCCGTCCCACCCTAGTGCCATCCTGCGACCTATAGAACTTGCTAAATTGACGTTGTCGGGCTGGCTGCTCTTTGCTGACCACCCCATGCAAAATTTTTGGGCCATCTGTGCAAATGACGGGCGCGGGGGCAAGTCCGTACTTTGCGATTTTTGAAGCCCTAGCTACTGCGATTCCGCATTCCAGTTGGGTGGTGAGTGGGCCACGGTTGAGGTGACATTTGACGCGTTTTGGAGCTGGTTTGAATTCGCTATTTTTATACGAATATTGCCCGCGCCGACGCATTTCCTAACATCACCTCGAAGCAAAATATCTCGAAAGTCCAAGATCTCAAAATTCCACAGCGGCAGAACATTAAATTTTTCAATTCTGAATGGAATTTCATACAGGGCGTCCCAATAACAAAAGACCCTCTAACTCGACGCAGAAGTATCCGAGCGGAATGGTAGTGACACCTTTCGAAAGCCCTTAAAATGGCGAGGTTGCAGCGTTCACCAAAACTCGTTATTTTACAAGCCGTTCCGTAAAATTTTCCGGGTTTTTGAGGCGGCCTACAAGGTAATTTGCCTTAGTTTCTGCAATCAAAATGAACGATAGATTGATGGGACACGCTGTACAGCGGATTCTTCGAGATAAAAATTTTAACACAAATACAATTTTTTTATAATAATTTACAGAGCTCTGAGAGGCAACCGCTGCTTGTGAAAACTATTGGGGTTGCGGAGTATACAAAAAGCACTTTATTGATGTAAATATAATACATTAAATGGCAGATAATAAACATTTTTTCGCAGTAGCTGCTCAGGCATGCAAAAACAAAATTTATTCTTGGTCGGAGGAACACTACCCCAATTTTCTTTGCGATTTTGTAGGCGCCCCTTATTACCGGCCCAGTACTAGTACAGTACCCCCTGGGCTTTCCGCACGAAAACGTTTCGGATTGACTGGCTTTTCCCCTCCTGGGGAATGACCGCTTGTACACTGATAAAGGGTCGTCGGCCGGTTTTTTTTAAAAAAATAAAAAAAAAAAAAAAAAAAAAAAAAAAAAAAAAAAAAACTTCCCTCTACGAAACTCGCCAGAAAAGTGGCGCGTCCTCGGAGAAGTGAGAAGAAAGCGTCTCCGGAGAAGAAAGAGAGAAAAGTTATCGTCGTTTTGCGGCGAGGTTATGTCAAAAATCTAGGCAGATTGTTTGATCATAAGTGAAATATCCGGTTTTTTGAAATCTGAACTCGGGGATTCTTAGATCTTACTTAGATTTTGGACCGCCGTTTTTAAAAATCCTTTTCCAACCGCGACACACAAGGCGAGTTGCCGCTTCAAAAGGGTTATGAAATAAAATTGCGACGTCAAAGGTCACCTACGAAATGGAACACGGCGTGTCGCGCCGAGGCGACATACACAAAGATCCACAACCCAATCAAGTCGTGTCTTGTAACTACAGGTGGGGAAAAGCTGACTATTCCTCTCTGTTAATCGAACTATCTCTCCTAATATTAACAATTTAAAATTTGTCAGCTGAACTCCTCGCTGTTGGTCACCATCTTTTCCTCAATAACACCACTGACCTTTGGAGGGTTTTTGCCATATTATTTTCTGGCAGTCGTCGTCTCCTTCTCGACCTCGATGGCAATTGGTGTCAAGAAATTTGGGATTGAGTGGGGGATAGAGGTGAGCTTTTTCTCAAAAAAAAATCCGCAAACTGGAAATCTTTGAAAATTAGTATAAATTCAGGAGCCCGAAAAGAAGCCGCTGCTCACTTCGGTGCTTGCCGCAGCTTGCCGGTACAGCCCAAGCAGTCCATTGCTGTGAGTTGCCGCTGAAATTGGCATTAACAATAATACAACCATAATAATCATGATAATAAAGCTTTTTCGGCGTAAATTTTCATAAGGTTTGCACTAAAAAGCATACAAAATTGCAAGAGAGTTACGAGTTGAATTTCAAAATATTACCGCAAGAAAAGCGTTTCAAAATCCCGCACTGTCGAACGGAAATGTTGCATGGTACAACCCTGTCCACACGCGACTGTACGATTCGCCCCGTTATCAAAACCTGAAATAATCCGTTACTCACGTTATGGCACCCCAAGTACGGCCTAAAAAAGCCCTGAAACTTGCCATAATTTGCAGTGAGGCTGCTATGTATACATTGATAAGGGCTGCTGAGTGGTGCTTTCGTATACGAAATCGGGGCAAAAAGCTTTCGGCACGTAAGCTGGGAAGTGCATGCAACAAAATTATCGGGGGTCTGACTGGGCTGGGTCACGGAGGCTTTGCACAAGTCGAGTCCACTTCCTGCAAAGTTTTCTCATATTCACTTCCGTTCTTCAGTAAGCTAAGCCAAGCCTAAGCCAAGCCTAAACCCAAGCCTGAGCCAAGCCTAAGCCAAGCCTAAGCCAAGCCTAAGCCAAGCCTAAGCCAAGCCTAAGCCAAGCCTAAGCCAAGCCTAAGCCAAGCCTGCCAAGCCTAAGCCAAGCCTAAGCCAAGCCTAAGCCAAGCCTAAGCCAAGCCTAAGCCAAGCCTAAGCCAAGCCTAAGCCAAGCCTAGGCCAAGCCAAGCCTAAGCCAAGCCTAAGCCAAGCCTAAGCCAAGCCTAAGCCAAGCCTAAGCCAAGCCTAAGCCAAGCCTAAGCCAAGCCTAAGCCAAGCCTAAGCCAAGCCTAAGCCAAGCCTAAGCCATGCCTAAGCCAAGCCTAAGCCTAAGCCAAGCCTAAGCCAAGCCTAAGCCAAGCCTAAGCCAAGCCTAAGCCAAGCCTAAGCCAAGCCTAAGCCAAGCCTAAACCCAAGCCTGAGCTAAGCCAAAGCCTTGCTAAGTCTAAGTCCAAGCTTAGCCGTCTCCGATCTCTATATGGATCTCGCTTCCCGCCATGATTACCAGGACCTTCAACCTTCCAAAGGGGTCACGAATAAACAAGGTAGGTAAAGTAACGGTTTTTCTAAAATTTTTCAGATCTGCCTAAAAACGGTATCCAGAAGCTCTTTATCCTAAAATGCATGCTTTACGGGTTTTCGTGTGGTGCTACCGTAGCCATGTACCAGGTAAAACTTTTGTAATTTCATAATTTTTTTCATCTAGCCGAAGTTACGCATTTATTTTTATCTGCATTTTTTCAGCTTGGGGCTCTAATTAACCCCCCGCTTATGATGCTCTTCAATCAAACCAGTAGCGAATTGTTCGGGATTAACGACGGGTCAGCGATGTTTAACTAAAAAAACCCCTTGATTCAGGGGCATTCTAATGCTCTCGGCTTCAAGTTGGACGTTGTTTGTCGGCCAGGGCTTTTCCATTATTGTCCTACTACCGCTGATGGATTATCTTGGAAGAAGAGCTATTTGCGTTTATGTCAAGTATGCCATTTGAAGCTTCATAGAAAATTTGAAAAATCTTTCAAACCCGGGTTCACGTTCGGATTGGCGTCTCTCGGTACGATTTTCTACCTCTCGGCCTGGTCAACGCAGAACGGGCTATTTTACCTTATCGGCGCTGCCCTGATCGCGGCGACCTATGCTATTTATGTGCTTGGAGACGTGATATTTTTGTGTGAGATGTCGCCTGCGGAGCATAGAGGTTAGGAAGAGAGAGGAAGAGAGAGAGAGCGAGAGAAATAGAGAGAAATCGTAACCAACATTCCAGGCACCTTCTCGATGCTTTCTCTATCCTCCGTCCAAGTCTTTGCCCAAACCGTCACTTGGTTAGCTAGAGAAGATGTCTGGGGAACGCCAGAAAAATGGATATACATCCCGCTTCTAGCGCAGGCAAAAAAGTTTAATGAATTTATTTATCCCACACTTTCAGCTGGTTAACCTACTCACTCCCCTAATCGGTCACAGCTTACCGGATAATGCTTTTCGGTTAAAGAAGAAAAACGGAAGGACGATTTCAAGTTTCTACGAGAAGCATATTGAAAAGATCGCTACGATATTCGAGTCCAGAAACGGGCTACTAAAGGTATCGTTGTAATTTTTGTATTCAGGGTTGGCTTTGAGAAACTGATGCTGATCATCTGCTTGGAGGCGTTTTGTACGATGAACATCAACATGATCGAGAATCAGTTTCCGATTCCTGTTTATCAAGATGAGGGGATGGAGACGAATCCGGTGGGCATTAAAAATGTTTTAAATAATATGAATAACTAATCAATTATCGTTACATTTTCCAGATCTTGGCGATGGTGATGGTCATCTTCGTCTTGCTAATTCCCTTCCGATGGCTAGGCCCTATGATTCTAAACAGAATCGATCGAAACCAAGTCCCATTTTATATCATGCCGTTTTTCGCCCTCAAGGCAATAGTCCATATGATGAATTCAATGCTGCAACTCGATGCACTTTGTAAGTCATACGCCAAATTTAAAAACTATCGGACTTGAATTAGGTTATGTTAATGCTATACTTGAACGTATCGTCGAATCGACTGGCTTGACTATGTTTTGCTACGTGGTGGCGACAGATATTTTTCCCAAGGAGTACCTGGTGGTTACGACGCAGGTAGAGAAAAGTTTCAACAACCAGGATCAGCATTGAAAATTTAGCTATGCTTATTGAGCGCAGCCATTCTACTCGCCTTTTTCAATACCATCACGCCGTTGATGTTCAACGGCCACCTGCCACAATACTATTTTGGAATGGCCGTATTTTCGGGGGTGATGGCATTTTTGGCGAGGAAAGCCTGGAGACGAGGGGAGAATGAGGTGTGAATTTTTGGGGTTTTCGGAGTTCGGAAGCGGAAGCAGTTCAGCATTGACGAATGCAGAAGATACTCTCAGAACGTCAAATATTCAGTTTTTAGGAAGAAGAGGAAAAGCCACTTCTTCCACCATGTGGAGCTCCGCCAAAGTACACTGAGAACGAGCTGCTCTTTTGAATTAACAATTTCCGGTTCATTCAACTAGGCAAACACGGATATTTGCTATGCACAGGTATTTCTCGGCAAGAAAATGACAACTTCTCGATCAGCACCCTTAAAAGCTCAAATGTTTTTGCAGCAACGTGTTGATGTGCGCGGCATTGCCATAGTAGCTGAAACCATAGGGCAGGCCTGGAGGCCGGTACTTGCTGAACATTCTCATGCACTAAAAAAATGGGCCCTGAAGGATACGAGTCTTCAACCCTACTTCTTGCGCTTTTCCGACCGTTTCGAAAAAGATGAAGCCAATTAGGCCCTTGTCTGTACGCAGCCGCTCGGTGTGAGGTCTGGAAAGTGTGGTTTGCACGTTTTGGCCCTTAAGAATTTTATGCAGGGTGTCCCAATAAAACGAACACCCCGTCTAACTCGATGCAGAAGTCTCGGATCGGAATGATAGTTGCACCAATCGAAAGCCCTTAAAATGGCGAGTTTACAAAACTCTTCAAAACCATGTTTTTATTTAAAAGTGCCTTTTTATAGCAAGCTTAAAAACTTATGAACGGCTTCGGCACCTAATTAATGTCAATTTCTGGTCATTTCGCTTTGAAAAATTTGAGGCAAATTAGCTCGTCGGCAACCGCAATAACAGCAAAATTTTACAAAATAGCTTGTAAAATCGCGGATTTAAATGAGCAACATGGCTTTGAAGATTTTTGCAAACTCGCCGTTTCAAGGGCTTTCGAATCGACTATCATTCCGATCCAATACTTCTGCGTCGCGTCGGAGGGGTGTTTTTTTATTGAAACACCCTGCCGAGCGGTGGTGTAAATTAATAAGCCCGGTCAATACCTCCCATTCTTCATCTCGTATCCGGGCTCAGAACTCGGCAGGAATAGCAGCAGTGTTGCATCGGTGACGCCCTCGGGCAACCAGCTTACGCATATAATTCGCCGATTTGTGCCCTGAAACCGAATGAATACGGGAAATGGTCGCCCACCTTGGGATCTTTATAAGGATCTGGTAGACCGAGCTCGGAAGCCTTCTAAACTGCTAGTTTTTGGCAGAGTAGCAACGGCATACAATTTTGCTAGGTCCTGACGTCACTATAGTTTGTGTCATCGGCTGGGCCACCCCTTGTGGCTTTGCCGGCTTCGACTCCAGAGGCGGGCGCTGGCTGCTGTCGGTTTTTTTGGGCTCCTGAAACCTGTCGCGTGCTTTTCTGAAAGTACCCCTAAAAAGGGTTGCTCAATCTGAGGTATCTGAGAACATCTTTTAAATCAATTTTTTTGATAAAAAAGTGAAAAAATCAAGTTTTGTGACATTTGCATCTAGTTACAAACAAGAAAAGACCAGCAGGGAAGAAATTACAATGCAAATTTTTCGAAAAATATGGTTTTTGAGCAACGTTAGAATCAAGATTGGATCTTCAAGGCTTGTGGATTCTTGTTTCGCTTACTTTATTGTGATATTCTTGTTCTATTATTTTATTCCTTATTGAATTCCGCTTTGATCGTACAATACTTGCCGCGCAAATCCCTGCTGCCGGTTTCTTCGTACACGCCGAATAAGAGACCGTAATCTGCCGCCCGTGCTCCACGACACCGTTCCACTTTTGGAAAATCTTAACGGCATTTTAAAATAGGAGCTTGACATATACCTCCTCAGCAGCTTGCACATTTTCCAAATATGCAATGCATCGCTGGCTGTCATCATCGTGAAGTCGCAACATCATGTCGGGGCTAGGGATACCTTATGAAATCTTAACAATTGCAATACTTATCGTCCCAATATATCAAGGGCTGTCCTTTCCCCAAAAACTTGTCGATCACCTCTTCTTGCGAGTAATCGAAGGGGATGTTTTCGATCACAATTTTCGTGCGGTTATACTAAAAAAACCCAAATCTATTAAAATTATAAATTCCAATAAACTTGATAGATGACCGCTTTCTCAGATAGATTCTTCATTTCCGCCTCTAATCTTTCACGTTGCTGCTTTTCGTCGTTGGCCAAGACTTTGAGTTTTTCGATCCAAAATAAGTTCTTGTAATTTTTCTAGAAAGCCGACCGACCTCTGCGGTCAATAATTCTTTTTCCCGGATACTGCGTAAGCTTTTCTGGGCCTAAAGCTTTGCGTGAGATAGTCAGAATTTTTGGTGACCTGGAGTCTTTTCAGATGCGGAATCTCGATTTCGCGATGCGTAAATAAATCTGCATTTAGTTGTTTCACCTAAATACGGGTTATCAGAGAGTACTTTGTAAATGAGGTTGACCTTCTCCAGATGGGCCTGCTTTTCTTGGTGCCATTTGAGGTGCGAGCCGGACTGGAATTTACGAGTTGCTAACAGATAGTCAATATTCATATTGTCGAAATTTGGTAATAACGATCCCGACATTGTCGAAATTTTATAATGCCGAATTTGCAAATTGTCGAATTTTTTTGCACGGTATTGTGAGTTTATCATTCGATCTGTTTAAGCAAATTCACGGTTCTGAACTTTCGATTTTATGAAAGTTTAGCCTAATTTCGACATTATGAGATTTCGGCATCATGAATTTTCACCGTTTGAGAGCAACCCTGAAATGATAAAATAATGGAAATGACAAAAATGACAAATTGGAAATAGTAAGTTCTTTATGCATACGATTGTTTTTTTCTGCAGCTCCAATTTTCCGTCGAGTTTGTCGTAGTCCGCGACAAGCTGATTTAAAAATAGATTTGACGACACGACCTGCTACCTGATTCCAGTCCTTCAATGGTACCGTGTCCGCTGCCGAAGCGGCCTGAGAAGTTTATACAAAAAAATCACACTGACCTGCTCGGCCTTCAGATTGCGAAGCTCGGTGCGGAGTGAGCCCAGTTGAATATTTAGGTTTTGCTATAAATTTAATTAAGCTGTTAGCGTCGGAGGAATTCTTGGTCCTCAAATGCTCTTTTTCCTGGAAGATCCTCAACTGAGGTCCTCTTTCCTGCAAAAATTAAAACGTTTTTCAAAAACTAATTTTCGTAAGACACATTTTTAAAATAAATTAGGCCGTTTTTCTCGGCCCGTACGGTATGCTGACGGGACTTTCAGTATGCGCAAAAACATTAAACATTATATTATCTAAAAAAAATTAAATATTTTTGTTTATGTAGAATTAGAGAAAAGAAGACAATTAAAAAGAGGTTCAGATATGAAAAATACTACCGAGTGTTCCAGGGCATCCCAATACTTTTTGGATAAAGTGTCGTAGTCCCTTTCCCAATACCTGCCGCCGTAGCCGGACTCGACGATGGGTACCTAGGAAAGCATGTTTGGTTGCAATTTCTAGCCGATAAAACAAAACAAATAATCCCGTAATTAAACTACCTCGATCGAATTACCTGCGCCCATTTTTAACTTGTAAAAAACAAGAGGAAAATCAATTCAAAACGGAAGCGAAGTTTCTGCCGATTGATGAGTAAGGGAATGGCGACAGCTGGGCGCTAATTGACTAGTGATAAGAGAACAGTTCAGTTTGAGAATACCGAATACGTATTATCAGGAAAAGCGAAAAAGTGATACGGGATAATTTATACGCATCAGTTTATAACGCCTAGGAACAGATTTACGAACAAGCTTTCTGAACAATTTTTTTAAAGGGACAGACAAGGCAAGTGTTTAAGTTCCAGCCTCTAGGCTGTCGACGTTGCGGTATTTCTCGGGGCTTTCAGATACAATAAAGCTGCTCGGAAAGTATTGTGAATTCCTAAATCGAAAAAACAATCGGCGACCGAGCAGTGGCGTTGAAAAAAAGCAATTTGTTATTCCGGGCATACCCGCGAATCCGAGCAAAAGGCTCAATTTAATTCCGTCGCTCGATGAGCCAAGTCGGATTGGCCGCTTGGAAACATTACACGCCAAACATGCTTGGAAACATTACATTACACATGAGGCATTTGATAGCATTTCTGGCGTTATTTCTATCAATTTATGCTCATTACTTTCACTACGCTCCCTGGCGAGTCGGTAGTCCGGGCCGGGATTGGCAGGGTAAATTTTAATTGATATAAATAGGCTGAATCTTTAATTCGGTTTATGAATGCACGGTTACAAACGATTTTATTAGTTTCAAACGGGTTAAGCGGTGATAGAGCTGAAAAAAAAATAGAGGTAATTCCTTGTTAATTTGAAGCAGGTACTTCCAATGATTGGTCGCGACCCGGATCAGCAGAATTGGAGATTGGGATGGAATCGCACGTGCCAGGTGCCGCATTATATTCATGAAATGGGGTATCAAGTGGGGGTATATACCGGAAGCCCGACAGACCAAAATACCGACAGCCAAAGAACAAAAACAAACGGCGTTAATTCGAAAATTAGCCTAATTTTGCCCTGCCTGCCTGAGGCCACCTTTTTCTCCCTTTTTGGCGAAGTTATTTTTATTTATTAAGTTGGCTATTTGCAAATTGTAAAAATAAGGTCTGATCTGCACCTTAAGCTACCGCTAAACAACTCGGCACAACTCGAAGAATGTTTCAGAAGATTCCTACCGAATCGCCGACCTCGACAACCTACCCATGGACGACCCTTGGCTTCCGAGACCGGACTCGCATTGTGTTTATGACCTATAGCATATTACTGGAGATTTTTCAGCCTCCTTTGACCCAGAAAACCCTTGGGTGGAAGAGACGGTAAAATCAAGACCGGGTACACCGGATTCGGAGGGTTTGTCGGAGAAAACAAGTTTTTAATCGACCTGCAGTTCGCTTCGTCGACCCATTGCCACCAAAAGAACGCGAACGGAAGGTGAAGACGTTTCCAAAGGGTAAGTATAAGAGGGCGAGCAAGCCGGCTTATGTGTACGCTTCAAATTAGACGTAGGCTTAGGCTTAGGCTTAAGCTCAAAAACTTCTCCGTTCAGCAAAGCCAGTACACGGTCTCCATGCCCAACCACCGCCACCCGTCTCGAGGGACCAGTTGACCGATTGTACGTTTTTTTTTGCATTGAAAACAGAACAAAAAAAGAAAATGATTTTTGCTAGATCTCCCCTCTTCCGACCCGGACAACGCAAAAAAGAACGTCGAGATCATGAAGAAGAATTTGAGGACTCGTAAGGTTTCCGAGGAGCTTTTCCGGAATGCCGACAACTTAAATACCGATATGCCGAACAAATGCATCCGCACGGATTCGGAACTTGAGTATTTTTCGGCATTGTACTGTCGGTTTTTGATTTCCGGCATCGTCGATTTCGGCTTTTTGATGGTCGCCATTTTAGCTTGTCGGCAATTTGGTGAATGCTTTTTGTGTGTGGCGTTTTGATCGTCTTCCGCTGTGTCGGCATTTTTCGGTCCATGTTATGCCATAGCCCTGTCATTCAAGGTGGTTTCCCGGGAAAACTGGCAAAGTGGACCCCGGATCTCGAGGGTTATATGACATCCATGGGCACCGAGCGGGTCAAGATATACCATAAAACAGGTGGATTGAGAATTGCGTAAAAAAGTTTGTTTGCTGCAGAACAAGCCAGCCGAATTGATGCCAAAATCCGGGCCCGCGTCTACGAGGAGCAAATATTTTCCTCTTATTTTGGGTTGGCGATGGACGGGTTCGGCTTGGCAAAGGAATACGGCATCCCACGAGGAGATGTAAGGGGCTACTTGGCATTTTTTCGACAGTAATAATCTGTGATCCCTAAAACATATACTTTTATATGGCAAATGATTAGATGGAAAACCTGATCGACATCTACTACGACCGGGAGAGGCGGTAACAACCATGCAATTTTCCTAAAACATTACCTGCAGCACGTACCGAGACTTGGAGAAGAGAAAGCAGCGAAAATACGGGATGAGGCAGGATCCCGATCTGGATCATGGTGGGATAATTCCAATTTTTTTTTGAAAACCCACGGCACGCAACGTGTTCGCTCCACCTTTCTATTGCGTAATTGATTATTCACTTGGAAGCGCGGGATGAATTTGAATTGTTTCATCCATAGCGTGGCTCTTCTTAAAAAGACCATAGGCATCGTTCGCACCTCTTTTAATAAATTTCAGATATCCACAATCCGCCCCCCAAAAGAACACGCATCGCCAAGCAAAAGCCGATGCTGGAGCGTGGGATTCTTTGGTTTTGTCAAAAATTTAAATTTTGAGATGATTACCCAGTGACAGCCGTCCGTCGAAGAGAGAAGAAGCTGACACCGGAACAGTTCGAGGCCCAAGCTCGTTTGAGTCGTTTTCCACAATAGTAAAACGGCTTCTCTATAGCCGTCAACCCTGCGTTCAACAAAAACGACTGGGGCTATCTGAGGACGTTGCGGCAGCAATTGGGTAAAGTTAAAATTAATGTCTTGCTTCTGGGTGCTTTGGCCTGATCGGTGGAGGAGGCCAATATTTTTTCTTTTGCGTACGACCTTCCAATTTAAATGGTTGCGATTTTTCAAGAATTATTTTGACTATCCGACGTTGAGCAACTTTAGGAATGCTTGATAAAAACATAGGAAGATAGCGATTTTTTGACTGAATTGCTGATTTTCGACGAAGATATGTAGTCAAATTTTTTCACATTCTTGAAATAGTTTTCTCTTTCAAATATAGTTAAATTTAATTGGGGGTACCGTAGGCAATTTTTTCGTTTTAGATAGACATGACGAAATCATGGATTTTGAGGAATTCCAGCGCGGTAACAAGTACCGGCAGCTCCGCATGGACGGACATGATTCGGAGGCGGTATTTGATGCTCAAATAGACTTTATTTTTTTTCTGAAGATACGCCGAATTTTCGACAGTGCATCATTGGATGTTCGCGAAAGATGTGGGCACCGCAAGTTTCGAGTCCAACGTTCTTTAGTGGGCAGGTTCCGAGGTCGCCGGATAAGCATACCACAACGACTGAAGCAGTTGCCAACCGCATTCCATCCAGGGGCGTCCCCAATTTTTACTAATATCTTTAAAGGGCTTCAAACTCACAAGGAAACTACTTTAGGTTCTACCGGGTGTTCCAAAAGTTTTGCCAAAATCTAGAAAGATCTAGAAAGAAAGAACCAGTGTCGAAAAGCCGCTTCGCGACTTTTCAACCCTGGCCCCGTCTCGGACCCCATACTATTCTTCCCTTTGCATAATTGTCCTCCATTCAGAAGACAAAAAAATGAAAACAACCATTACCGCCTCTTTATATAGGCGACCACCCACTTCCGGTCTATGCTAATTATTCCTAACAAAGAGATTTTTACTAAAACCTAAATTTAATAGCGAAAATGGCTAATTTGTAAAAATCTGATATGTGTGCAGTCATCCCTAAACCATTACGCACCTAGTGACGTATCATACGTAGCCCAATACCCGTCCCTTCTTGAGATATCCTCCGGACAGACAGACGGAAGTGGATGCAAAGTGGCACACACACACACAAACACTATTTTTTTATAGATAGTAGGATATTCTGCGCTTTGCATAATTCTCACAATTTTTGATGACAAAAATGAGAAACGCTACCTCTCTTCCCTTTTTATAGGCTCGCGCAACTTCCGGCGTATGCTAATTGTTTCCTAACAAAGAAGGTCCTGGATTTTTCAACAAAAATTTAATTTTAACGTCGAAAACAGCTAATTTTTGACAATTTTTGTTAGTGTGCAGTTATCCCAAGGCCATTACGCATCTAATGACGTATCATACATAACGCCAGCTACCCCCCTAATTGAGATACTACTGGAACACGCTGACGGAAGTTGCATGCAAAGTAGCACACACAGACACTACTTTTTTATATATAGCAGGATCACTGCAATTCCCGCGCCTTTTGTAGAGTAGTACTCATGAGTGACCACCCATTACTGAACCGGTGTTATAAAAACATCGCATCTTTAGCCTGCGGAATTCAAAATGAATCTTACTTTACTCATTTTCTAGCAAAACGGTCATTCCCCTAGAAAGTACTGGCAAACCTTGCGGCAGCCCTGCTGCGTGCCGGAGCCAGTTGGGTCGAAGCAAGTTTGGCCTCTGATAAACTCGGAAAGTTGGTTTCTCAAACCCGTTTTCGGGCGCGGAATTCATTCCCCCTTATCAACGACATGTAAAAGCTTCGCCATTATCCTAGGCTGCTCCGAGACTCTTTGCCCCCGAAGACTTTGTCAGAACTTTTGGAACACCCTGTAGTGTCATTTCGAGCATGTCGTCGTCGTCGCTTGCCTTGCCCGACCCTTTAATTCAGATCACATGTACGCCAAAGGTGTTGACTATGACAATGGTAAGAAAACGCACGCCGCCCCGGAAGGTAAGAATTTTTGAAAGCTTGCAGGGGAGTTTTAGGTCCTTGTGATCGGAGGAAAAAACGAGCAACTGACGATTCCAGACGCGTCGGGTGCAGTCTAGCGGTCAAGAATTTGCATCTGCCGGACGGTCAGCAGTCGAAGGTAATTTTTTTCATTTATTTTTTTAAGACACCTTTATTTATGTTCATGTTTTGATGTGATTTACGGTATCGTGATAAAACGAATATTTTGCAATGGAATTTTGTTCGGGGAAGTTTTTTTTGGAAAAAAGCAAAGATTTTTCCCGCGTCCGGGGGTCGAACCCGGGCCCCCCGCTCGGGAGGCGCGGATGGATAGCAGTTAGCCACAGCTACAACCTAGCGAGGGAGCGAGGGGCGCCCCACGCCGCAAAGGAGGGAAATGGCCTGTCACCGCACGGGCAGGCAGTGCGCGCGGTCGCTACGTCCATAGGGTGTACACGTTGGGACGAGTACACGGCCCCTCCCTGAACGTGCGCTTTAAAACTGGTGGCAAATTCAAATTTTTATAGCCTAAGATTTATCGCATAAAATTAGGAACAATCCAATAACCAGCTAGTGTAGTTAAGCTTTATAAGCTGAGATGTCGGAGCTCCACACGGCGGTGATCAGGCATACACTAAAAATCAATTAGTACTAGAATGGCACCAAACCCCGAACTTTCTCAAACACGATTACCTGCATGCCAAATTTGACATGGCGCCCACGGCCGTGAGCGAGATAAAATTGTAAAGTTGCCAGGGTAAGGCAGCAATCCAGACAAGCCGAAAACCCCAGACCATCTCAACCATCAGGGCTACTACCGGGCAGAAGCATGCGATTGTGTACTGAAATATACAGGGTGTCCCAATAAAAACACCTCCTCTAAAGCGATGTAGGAAGTATCGGATCGTAATGATAGTTACACCTATCGCAAGCCCTTGAAACGGCGATTTTGCCGCAAACCATCTTTTTATCTAAACCCTAGGTTTTACCACGCCTGTAAAAACATTAAGGAATGGACTCTGAATCTAATTAACGGCTACTTCCGGTAATTTTGGATGGAGAATTTTAGGCAATTGGCTCTTATGCAGCCCCGAAAAGCGGGCAAATTTTTGCAAAATGGCTTTTAAAATGGCGGGTTTAAATAAAACACGGTTTTGAAAACTGTTTCAAACTCGCCGTTTCAAGGGCTTTCGAATAGTGTGACTATCATTAAGATCCTAATATAATAATATCTAATTAGGTATTCGGATCTGGGATTTAGTCCTCCAACACTTCTGCGTCGAGTTAGAGAGGAGTATTTTTTATTCGGACTTCCTGTAGATCAAAATTAATTCTCATTATAACTGGAACAAATATGCCAGCAAAAAAATCAAGGGACCGGCGGAAAACCAACCCATTTCGTGAACCCAATCATAATTCGGCGGCGAGTTTCTTCATTCGCATTTTCCTGAAAAGACGCTCACTTACTTTAGCGTACGAGAACGTTACGTATTTCAAAACACAAAAAAGATACGCTGAAAAAATTATTCATAACATGCATTTTCGTTTAGAGCTGCCCAAAAACAAGCTGCAACCTTTTTTCGGGCCAACCAAAATGTTGCAGCACTGTAGCCAAACGTCAGCAGTATCGCATGAGGGCGAAATATTTTCCAAACACCGTCATTGCAATTCCAGTCACCGGAGGGGTTGTTTCTAGGTATATTCATACTTATTTAAATGTTAATCCTCTTCACATTTATATTTTTCTTTCCTTGATTCTACATCGCTCCAATGACGCTAAAAAAGACTCACGGCATAAGTTCCGAATATATACTTGGGTAATAGGCGTAGCCGTAGTACCCCTTTTGGCCCTGTGGATCTAAAACCGGTTATAGCTTTGTATCCTCTCGCTGACATTCCCAGGATTTTCCGTAGCCAATTAGCGTCATGTTGTTTAGAAGTGGAAGAAGGATGGAAAGGATTGGCCAGACGATCATAAACAATGATATGCCACGATTACAATGGCCGTCGAGGGTGATGGTCAGGCCCCTTAAGATATGGATTTTCAAAGGAGCAGGCAAGCTACAGATTTCTCATAAATTTTTATGCACCCGCGATACGCAACGCACACGTTAAAGAGATGAGGACGGCATCTGTTGAACCCCCATGGGGAGGGGGAGTTCAACAAGTGCAGCGGCGAGAGGGGGCGCCCAGGGGAGAGGCGCAGAGACATTTTCTTTCCCGCGCGTAATCGATTGACTTATGCCGCCCCTATCCCTTTAAGAAAAAGCGTTCGCATAGTTGTTGCTAAATTCCCATCGTTTAATTGCCAAAAAACCATGCCTTGCGCTCTATTTAACGACCCGTCTAATACCTAGAGATAGCGATCCCAAGGTGCAGCATCCAGAACCATTTCACAATTGCGATATGCAAGGTCGTGACATAGAGATTTACAAACATCAGATGCCCTTTTTGCTGACAGAGCCATCTGAATTTTTGAGGTGAAAACCGTATCAGCTATACTCCTTGTTGCAGTCATATTGATAAAATCGAATAGCGCCATCGTATAGCAGGCCGATCGCGTAAGGGAAGAAGGACAGGGATAATAGACCTATCGTTCTTCGTCGAAGGGCTAGCGTTATAAGCAAGACGAAGCCAAGCGTGCATTGCAAGCTGCCGACCTGGAAAACAGAAGGATTTGGGTACCTGAATGTTGCACAGATTTTTAAGGCATCGCCCCGGAAGTGCTCGTAAGTGTAAAGAGTCTTTACTGACGACAGCCGATGCCAATGTGACACGTTTGCGAAAATTATATTTTTTTTTGGAATGAGATTTTTGAAAATCTGTGTTTCGCAAATCAGCATTTTGAGTAAGCGACGTCGACTTTTTGTACTTCATGGAGGGTTTTTAGCGTCTTTTTAAACTCTTCGCTTTCCAAAGTTTGTTCGAAAAACGAACTTTTTCTATCAAGATATGATTCCCGAAAATCAGTCCTACAAAAAAATTCGGCATTTATCTTCAAAAAATGTTTACGAGAATCCCCTGGCCCTTACCGTCAATAGGAAAGGCTGTATAAAGCCATCGAGCTGGCGATTTATCGTCGAGTTGACCACGAGCGTTTCGTAGAGCTCCCGCGGCTTAACCCGGCCATCATTGTAAAATTCCCTTGAGAGGTAGTCAAGATAATAGTCTTCTGTTGTTGTTTCAACCGTATTTATTATGTCATTCATTTTCTAAAAACTTTTGAAAATATTAAAAAGCCCGAAGTGAAATTTGATTTTATATAACGCCTAAAAGTCCACTTTACAGAAGGGGTAGTGTTAAAAGTCTAAGTTGAAAGCTTTACAGAAATTAAAAGCCTAAGTGGCAAAATACTGTAAGGCGAAGGGGTGCACGCGTGGTACCTGAAGCCAAGTATCAGAGGGTCAGGTCCTCACCAAGATAATTACGCGGTCCGCTTGCCCTCGATTTTCCGCTTTTTAGAAAACACCCCGTGGCCAGGATCACTATAATTTTGGGGCCAAGCCAACCGCCTGTAGCCATGTTTTGCCCATTCATCCGCAAGCCAGCAATTTTCCAAGGTTTGGCAGGAAGCTTAAGTGGATTGAAGAACTGGTTGTCTTCGAGAAAAACGGGCAAACAAACCCTCGTGCTCTATCCTGCTATTGCGGTCAACAGAAGAGGAGAAGAAGGCATCAAAGATTAGTCAGACCTTAGAAAGCTAGCCAAGTAGAATATTCAGCCACAAATCTCGATTGGTGTCTTGTGAACGATGTATTTGTAAAGCCAGAAGAATTAGTTTGGCCCTGCCAGCACGCTACCAACCAAGTTATCGGTGATTTTTCTTAATTTTCTATTTTCTATTTCTATTAACGGAGTGATTTTCTTTGATTCTGTGAATTTCTCGTTCCGTTTTTGTCATCCTTCTTGCTTTTCGCTTCTCGATTTTTTTAAGCGGTACATTATTTTGTTTTTATTGAGTCTTGTGGTAAATCACTACGTATAGCAGACATCATAAAAACATAATCACAACCCATATTTCTCATACAATTTCACCGGAAATACATCCATTTGCCGCAACGTTTGCAGCCGTTGATAATGTTTAGCGCGGGTCTCTTCGAAGAGGACGTGCATCTCGAGGTCGAGATCAAGACAATCGACTTTTAGGCGAGGATCGTAGCTAGGTTCAAATTTCAGCTAAATTAGCTAAACAAATTTCAGGCCCTACCTCCACCTTGAAAGCTCGCCAGCACCACACTTTCTATCGAAAATTTTGTTCGACGTAAATGGGAACATCCATTCCATATTCTGTTTCCTAAAAATTACCATTTCCAACTATGTTGCAAAAATGAATGCTTTTTATAGCGTAAATAAATTAAAAAGTGGTAATGAGACCTACTCTTCCTTCCAGCCCTGCAAGAACAGGTCCCGCTCGCACCATTTTGAACCAGTCATCCTACCGTCGCGGGACCAGCCTTGCCCTGAAAAATTTGTAGCCTTTACTAGAATCAACTATAATAATTTTGCTGTGGTGTCCGTCCGTCCGTCCGTCCGTCCGTCATGTCCCGGATTCAACTCGAAGGGGAAAGGAGCTAGAGCGTAGCTCTCTTCGGATTCGGATAGAGCGCCCTCAGAAACCCCCAAACTGATAAAAAAATTATGAAAAAGTTTTAGTTTAAATTATTAAAATTAACTTTGAAAGTTTTTTCCTTAGTAAAAAGGGTGGGGGCCCCTCTCCCGGGAGGCCACGCCCCCTTTCCCTGGCCCCTCATCCCCAGGCCCATTCCCGCGCCCAGATAGCTTTCTTAAGTTACTTTAATACTTTTTAATACTTTTAATACTTTTTAATACTTTTTAATTATGTTAATTAATTATTTAAATCATCTAAAGCCATCGGGAAGGTATTTAGGTAGTTTTTGAAGGGGATTTCAGCCATGGGGAGTATCTAAAGCCATCGGGAAGGTAAAATTACTTTAAAACTTTTTACGACTTTTTAATTATGTTAATTAATTATTTAAATCATCTAAAGCCATCGGGAAGGTATTTAGGTAGGTTTTGAAGGGGATTTCAGCCATGGGGGGTATCTAAAGCCATCGGGAAGGTAAAGTTACTTTAATACTTTTTAATTATGTTAATTAATTATTTAAATCATCTCTTTTTAATTTGGGGTATTGTGCAAAAAATGAGATGAAGAAACCCCACTTTATTTTTGATTTTCTATCCACTGGCAAAGTTTCAAGTCGATTTGACACCTGACCCAAACAACCTTCCCTTGTGATAGAGGTAGAGATGGATGTGATGGTGTATTATATTAACGGTAGCCCGAAGGCCAGATGGTTGCAGTCGCGAAGCGACTGGAACCATCTGGTATTCCTAGAAATCCTTATCAAATTAATCAATTGCAAATATTATTAGGTACCTTTCTCATAAATCTTGAGTCTTTTTTGAGCCAGCACTTCCTTCGGGATTTGAGAAAGAAGATATTGAGCACAAGCTTCATACAGGAACAGCTCAGAATATTTACTGTAATCAATTATTTATCTTTTACATTCTCTGGCTCTCTGTAATTATCTCTCTCCCTCTCTCACTCTCTCTCTTTCTCTATCTCCCCTACCTTCCCATCCACCACATCGTCTGGCAGCATGAGTTCATTCGGTTCAGCGCGGGAAGAAAGAATTCGAGTATGGCTGCCTGAATAAGTGAATTTCGTCTAATATTCATAAAAATCATCCCAGGTATAGAAAAAAATGGAAATGGCATGTAAAATGCAAAAGTTCCGCTTGCTTGAATAGCGCCATTATCAGTCCCGAGGCATCCAGCATCTTTTGTATTATTGCCATAGTCCGCCCAGCGCGTCAAAAATTCAAGCGATTGCTGGGTGTTGCTGAAACGTATAGGATTTTCTTATTTTGTATGTAAATTCTGCTATCAAAAGCTCCAAAATCAAAACCTTAGCATTACAAAAGCATTATAACTCCAGGAAACCCCCTCTGCGTTATAAAACGAGCAAATTACCGTATCAAATACGAGTCGGCCATGATTTCGTCGCGGTAAAAACGATTATAGAACACCAAATTAACTGTGTGCTCTGCTGGTATAAATTCTTCGAGCCTTAATCGATGATTTTCTTAACAAACAGTCAGATTTTTATACCGTCTGACGGGGTTTATGACACCGATGTCATCCCCTAGAAAAAGGAACCAATCGTAGGTTACTCGTTTCATTAAATCGGTCAACACGCAGTGGCGGGTAAAGAGAAACTTAAAAAATGTTTTTGAAACATTAAAATTAATAAAAATTTACTCACATCTTCTTGCGGGCACATCGATTGTAGGGTCACATTTTTACTGTAGTCTATGTAAAAATATGCGTAGCCTTGGACCTGAAAAATCACAGTTTGACGTCGAGGTATCTGGTTGAATTTTTGTATTTTTTAGCAAAGATATTATAAGCACATAAATGAAAGATACTAAATTAGCTAAAACCCCAGGGCTAGCTTACCTCCGCATAGCAGCGAATCGATTTTATGGTCATTTGAACAGCGCTCGTACCAGCTTTTACGATGATAACAATAGCTATCGAGTTTGCTGGCAAATTACGAAGTTTGGATACAATGGGAACCAACTTTGATTATCTCTAGCTTCCTCAACGTCATCAATTCGAGAAATTGGATAGGGCCGAAATTGGTGAAAATTCAGCTGTTTAAAATCGGCTGCGGTAAATGAAAAGGCTTCTAAAAACACGGAGTCTCGGTAGATTTTGACATAAATTTATTACCATCAGCTCCAAAGAATTTCCAGATTTTATAAAGCGTCATAAAAATCAGTAGGACGCAACAGGTCGTTGCAACGCACTTCAACATTGTTTTTATGGTTTGCTTTAATAGAATGGCCCTAAAATGAACGCGTTTTTATTGCTTTCCAAAGGATAAACCTAGGGCAACAATGGCTTGTAGCCCTTTTGAGCTCGCAACCGCATGCAATATCATCTACCAAGATCTTCACGGGGCGTTTTTTGCCATTTGGAGGTTGGAAGGCACGGCGGTACGCAACATTCGGTGTGACCTAGGTCGGGACCGATAGAATCTCTCTCAAAAAGCTAAAAAAATTGCAAAACGGTGTTAATTGCTAGAGCTTTTTGGAGCAATGTTTGCTTCTTGTCTGCCGCTGGTCTGACAGACTTCAAGTAGCGCATTTAAATAAAAACAAGGCTTGAAGTGTCGTAAACTCACCATTTCAAGGGCTTTCGACTAATGTAACTATCATGGAAGCTCGATTTTTTATTAGGACACTTTATACTGCCTTTTTAAGTATACTAAAAGCTCCTCTTGGCCTATTGAAAAAGAATTGGGTTTGAAAGACTGGACGCAGATTAGAGCCTTATCTCCGGCTGGGTCCGGCGATCCCGAGTGAGCTTGTTCAAAAAGTTCAGTCAAATTCTATTGATGTATACAGCGATTCGGATTCTTTGTGACGTTCTTTCTAGTCAATATCAGCTGCGAGAGTACCAGACGGCGCCGACCAGAGCAACGCTGAACGCGTGAGGTCTCGGCTTTTCAGCTTCGCTTCCGGTTAGATCGGCCAAAGCGCCGGGAACTATTATTCCGAAAATACTAATAGGGCAATTGATGAGCATAGTCTTGCAAGAGGAACCACAAATACGCTAGTCCTGGGAGGTGAACAAAACAGGCTACTGCGAACTAAAGCAAGAAGTCTATAAGGTTGTTAAGGAAATTACTGCAAACCCACGGGGCGGTTTCCCAGCATTCATTCGGGTATTAGGCATAGCCGTTGTATCCAACCAGCCCTTCCGCTAAGTTGAAGAGTTAAAATCAACAATTTTCTGTGCCGCTCATGAACATGAATGACAAAAAAATGCTACGTGCGTAACTTTCCGCACTAGCTGGTACCTTACTTTGCCCCCTTCCCAGCCCGGGCGTCCCAACCTTTTTCGACATTTCCGCTACTTTGTCGGGATTTTTGCCCCACTATTCGATGGAGCATCAAAAAATCGATAACGCATTTTAATGGCAGCTCAAAATAATATCAAGCAAAAAATATATAGCAAAAAACATTTGGAAACTTCAGGCTCGGGGGTAGAGTAGGGTCTTAGGGTGATTTCTGCGTGAAAATTACTCTACCATCCCAGGATTTCCCATAACCGATTTGCGTCATATTTTGACTAAGCGGCAAAATCGTGGCCAAAATCGTCCAACAAATCATGAATCTCGCAAAAAATCTGGTAGTCCTCTTAGCTACCAAACCCTATCGGAATGCGGTCGTTCACTGGTTTCAGACAATATACTGGGTGGGTAAACATTCAGAAGAGTTCAGAATTTTTTGAAGGTAAATCCAGGAGCTGCTCAACATCCGGTGAGCGTTAAGCCTATAAAATGGCAAGCGGCGCTGCACGTCATCAACAAGTGGCCTGTGCCGATCGGTGTTAATGCCAAAACGAGTAAATCGAGCGGGGAGCATTAGAAATCGCCAATTTGGTTTGCGATTATCAGAATAAATGGCCTGTTCATCGTCCCCCGCCCTCGTCAGCAAATCAGATATTTCAAGTCGCCGGCGCCACTGAGAGTTCACTCCTGCATTTCCCAGAAAGACACCTGCGAACGGCAGCCTGGGAAACACGGAAACTCCCCAAGGCACCTGGCTACTACTTCGGCCGCAAACATCTCTCTTTATGGATTTTCCAGGCGTTGTGTAATGTTTTACCCATCGCGCGAGGAAGAGCTATGGATTTCCCGTCTATATACTACGAGCTGGATTCTTGGTGTACTCGCGCTCGGTGTCAGCATGTACTTTATACTGGTCGGGAAGGCGCCACTCACCAGGGAATACAAAATCGTCCAGTTAAACTTTTTGGTACGTTGTGGGGTCTGCGAAATCGTTGTCGTGTCCGAAAGGGCATTAATTCGGGCCTAAAAAGCGCCGACCGGACTTGATACGGGTTTTTTGCAAGAGAAATCAAATCAAGCAGAATGTACGTCCGTATTTTGCTTTATTATATACTACTAAAATATATAACGCATGCTTACAAGGAGACGTTTTTTTAGTGGCCACGTAGTTTTAAAATGGGACCCAGCCTATTTTATGCAGGATTTTTCACTGATCCAAACGTACTTTTCAGAATCTGCGAAACTATCCTATTTCAAAAGCTATGAAGCTTTAAAGTGTGAAAAATGCCCAAAATGGCCAACTTTTGCCGTTTTTCGCCCTTTAAAACGTCATAACTTTGTTATTTTGGTCGTTTCGCAGATTATGAAACAAGTTTTTAATCAGAAATTCTGCATAAAATAGGCTTGGTCTTATTTCAAACGAAGTGGACATTAGCAAACGTCTCCTGGCTAGAGGCTTGTAGTAGTTTTTGTTTGCTCCAAAGTTGAAAAATAGCTAGAATGTGCAAGTTTTTGGCCATTTTTCATACATTTTATCATTTATCCCCCTGCTAACCCGCCCTCCGCTAATAGCACAGTACCGATACCTTTTAAGATAGCTTCCGGCCTCACCGACACAATAAGCACGTTCCTCAAGCCTATCCTCATGACCCCATACAGCGGGGTGTAACTGATGAGCATCTTTCGCCTCGACGTCCCCTTCCTCTACGTCATCGGGGTGGGCAAAGCTGCTCGATGAGCCTAGTTGATTCCACCTCCAGATGCTGTACGTCGCATCTCTAACGCACACCGCTTGCTCGTTGTTCTACATCGGGGTGCTGAAGGCGACACACTCTTCCCAAACGCACCGCATCTTCCAACGAGCAGCCCAGCGATATATTATCATTCTCTGGTTTTCTTTGCTCGTTTGTGGGAATACGTGGTCATACCAGGCCTACGCGCAGGGCCTGGTGGTAGAGGATCAGGGCGTGGTGAGTAGATCTCTGAAAGGGCCTTTGCGTTATTCCTGACAAATAGCCAGATGCGACCGCAACGCGAACGCGCCGCATGATCTTTTCTCCCAGTTTTGACGTGAAAACGCTTGAATTTAAAAATCTGGCGTCTTTCCTGGAATCCCCACCGAATTCTAGGCTTTTAAATTTGGAAAATTGACTGTAGGATCACCGAGATCGAGAGAATGAGTGCCGTACAGGGCATTACGCCATGTAATTGTCGCGTACTGGAAAACCAATTTAGCTCCGCGAAAATTTCGTTTTTACTAACATATTTTCGGTAATAGCCGTAATTACAGATATGCCGGCTCGAACCGGTTCTTTGCGGTATCGAAGGCGTGCTCTTTCTTCAGCATTTTGATCGCATGCGTATTTATTTTTGGATGATTTTGGTAATCGTCGCTTCGACCATGGTGTTGTACCTCGGAACCCTCTACATCAACATCATCAATTATTTCCTTGCCAACTCGAATCCAGCGTTGAGCAAACGAACTCGATATATGCACCGCTACTTCTGCCAGATCTTCATTTTACAGGCGGGTTCTGGGACAAGTACAGCGTGTCCCAAAAAAACGAACCATCTGGCATTTCGCCGTGTATCTTGAATTTGGGCCCAAAATTGGACCAGTGGTGTATGAGACCCTAAATAGCAACAATCCTGACCTACAGTCCCGTAGCGATAGTAGTTCTCGAGTTACAGCAAAAATAAACCCTATTTTTCATCTTCATAGGGTTTTCGTGGGATTCGACCCCATAAACGTTAATTGAAAAGGATTCGGCAAGCCTTTCTTACCTTAAAATTTTTTTTCCGGACTAAAATTAGCCAAATCGGCTTCGATTTAAGCGATTTTTCAAAAGCAAATTTGCCCAAGACCTTCAACGAAATTAGGGATTTGCAGCCGGGGTGCATGTAAATCGATGCAAAGTCCAAAAAGAGCCAAAAACTGTCTATAACAGTATTTTTGCTACAACTCGAGAATTACTGTAAGTATTTCGGGTCTGATCCACCTCTGGTTCAATTTTGCGACCGATCGGATGTAATACGGCAAAATGGCGGATGGTTTGTTTTTTCGGACACCCGGTAATTATTTTAGTCCGGGACCACAGTATTATTGTTAGCAGCACCAGCATGCCTGTTTCTTGCAGTAAATCTGAAATTTATCACCTGGGAGGTAGCATTGTTGCGTAGGTTCGAACAGATTGTACGCTGAAAAAGTGTGTTCTAGCGGCGGCCCTGGTGTTCGTCTGGAATGGGCTCCATTCCCTCGGCAGCAACTTGGTCATACTGTTGGCCACAAAGGCCTACAGGACTGCAATATTTCAAGCTCCCCGGAAACTCTACCGGGTGAGGAGATGGTTTGAGTGGTGAATGGACAACTCGCCGACATTCGACTCGCCGACATCGAGCTCGCCGACAGCCAACTCGCCGACAAGCCAACCCGCTGACAAGCCAACTCGCCGACAGCCAAGTGGCCGACATTTTCATGGTGTAATCAAAATTCTGTCGACCCTAGGATTCTTGAAAATGTCGGCGAGTTGGCTGTCGGCAGGTTGACTTGTCGGCAGTTGGCTGTCGGCGAGTCGGCTGTCGGCGAGTTGGCTGTCGGCGAGTTGGCTGTCGGCAGGTTGACTTGTCGGCGACTTGGCTGTCGGCGAGTTGGCTGTCGGCGAGTTGGCTGTCGGCGAGTTGACTGTCGGCGAGTTGGCTGTCGGCAGGTTGACTTGTCGGCGACTTGGCTGTCGGCGAGTTGGCTGTCGGCGAGTTGGCTGTCGGCGAGTTGGCTGTCGGCGAGTTGGCTGTCGGCAGGTTGACTTGTCGGCAGGTGGCTGTCGGCGAGTCGGCTGTCGGCGAGTTGGCTGTCGGCGAGTTGGCTGTCGGCGAGTTGGCTGTCGGCAGGTTGACTTGTCGGCGACTTGGCTGTCGGCGAGTTGGCTGTCGGCGAGTTGGCTGTCGGCAGGTTGACTTGTCGGCAGTTGGCTGTCGGCGAGTCGGCTGTCGGCGAGTTGGCTGTCGGCGAGTTGGCTGTCGGCAGGTTGACTTGTCGGCGACTTGGCTGTCGGCGAGTTGGCTGTCGGCGAGTTGGCTGTCGGCAGGTTGACTTGTCGGCGAGTTGGCTGTCGGCGAGTCGGCTGTCGGCGAGTTGGCCGGAAATAGGTTTTAGTGTGCCGCGCAGGAATTCCAGTGACTAGACATCCCCTAAAACTAAGTTCTAGAAAGTTCATTCGTCATGCGGCGAACGTCCAATTACCATCAAAGCTACGAAAGGGCAATCAGCGCTTCATGTTGTGAATAACTGGCCGTTACGGATGCCCGGTGTCAACCCCCTGCCGGTACCGGATGGCGATGTCAAAACCTACCAGCTAGGATAATTTTTTTTGGTGGACTTTGCGCTTTTATCCCTGCTGCGGATGTTGCTCGGTTTGATGTCGTCGAATTCCCATAAAAAAACTTGTGCCAAAAAAACCAACTTTGCGAAAAAATGATTTTCGAAGCAGCCCCGGGAGAAGAAAATGACACATGCGTTGGGCATTCTAACTTAGGATATTGCCAGTAATTAACATGCCTTCGGTCCTCCCGTGCAAAGCACCTGTCTCAAAAAGTTAATGGGCGACGCTTTTCCGGGTTTCCTGGTTCTGAAGGCTTCAGCAGCAGTAGCAACAGAATGTTTTATCCATCGCACGAGGAGGAGCTATGGATTGTCGGCATATATTATTTCTTTTGGGCCTTTGGTGCGCTCACCTTCAGCCTTACCGTGTATTTCATCATGAGCGGCAAGGCGCCGTTGACGAAGGAATACAAAATAGCCCAGTTGAAGTTGCTGGTAAGTCTCTGTGGAATTAAAGTATAATTTTCGACAGATTGCATCCGAACTTACCGACACGACCATATCGTCATACATTAAGCCTGTTATGTATTCGCCGTATCAGGCGGCCAAAATACTTGGAATCTTTCACTACAACAACTTGCAGCTGCATGTGACCGGGGTTAGGGGCAAACATTTAATATATTTACCAGTTTAGAGCCTCTATCTGTCTTCGATGGTACACACGATATGTTCTGTACTGTATATCGGTATTCTGAAGACAACGAATTCTTCACGAACGCATTGAGCATTTCACAGTTTTGCCAAACGCTACATTTTCGTGACATATGTTTGCCTGATGGTCGGGGTGAACGCGCTGGTGTGGGGTTCATACGTACGCGGGAGTGTCGTGGAGGATCCGGATGAGGTATTAATATACTAATCGAAAAATATACATTCGAACGGGAAAATAAGCAAAAAATAGCCTTTCAGATCTGCCTATTAGAACAAATTCTATGCGGCACCGTCAATGTACGATTGTTTCAACACACAGACTCCGTCTTTGTCTACATGAGTTACTTCAGCGTCCCTACCGTCGGCACCATGTTTCTCTATGCGGCTATATGCTACTTAAATATCAAAAATTATATTATGACCGGTAGTAATCCGACGCTGAGCAAGCGCACGCGTCATATGCACCGATATTTCTGCCTGATTTTTCTTATCCAGGCGGTTCTCTTAAACATACTAATCGATAAAAAGATAAATTTCGGTTCTCAATATCCATTTTAGTCCTGTATGGCTGGCACCTTCCTCGCAATACCATATTTCCTTTTTATCGTGGTCTACCTGAAATATACGACGCTATCTTTCATACTTTGGGGTAAATTTTCACAAAAAATGAAAACATCCTTCCAGTGGTGGGATTGGTCTGTATCTGGAATGGGCCCCACAATCTTGGGAACAACTTGGCGGTTTTGTTGGCCACCAGGGCGTACCGGAGCGCAATATTTCTCTGTCTGAAACGGATATACAGGGTAGGTATAGGTACCTAAATATGTGGAATTTCTTTTAGAAGCTCAATCCCTGCCTTGAGCTACGTGTGAGCGAGATTTTGTCCAGAAATAACCCATCGGTAGCCCATACTATCACAAAGCCGTTCTGACGGCTGAAACCATGTGTATCAAGGACGCGGGTGCAGATAAACAGGACCGGGTTTGGACAGTTTATTATAAATAAAGTTTATTCGTGTCCGAAATGGCGTTCGAAAGATCCTGGTTTCTTTTAGCGTTCTGGTTGTGATCACGAGCATCACTTAGGCGATGGTTGCTTAAAGGTTGATGCGGTAGCCGACCGCGTCTACCTGCCAACGGCCCGATACGAACCGCTGAAAACGGGGTTTTTGCCGAACTTTGATCTAACCATCGCGCAGCATCCCGACCTTCAGGCACTTCTTCCACCGACAGTAGCGGCAGCGAGACCGTGCCCTAAAATAATGTTTTGTACGCAGAGCTTGTTTAGATTTCCGAACACCGGATTCCCAAGATCAGAGCGCGAAACTAGCAGTTCCGTTCCTCGAAAAATTGGAATTCCGAAAAACTGCGACCCGAAAAATCCAGAAACTCGGAGTCTGAGGTCCGGAAAACCCCAATCCCGAAAACTTGGCTATCGATTTTTCGGCTTCCGGCTCCTTCACATATTCAGATCTCGGCTGGGTTTTTTGGGATTTCGGGTTTTTGAAGGGTCGGATTTTTCGGAAGAAACAAAGTTTCGATTTTCGATTTTTTTTATCAATGGAGATTTTGCCGACATCGGCGTTTCATTTCCCTTGATGAGAGCAACTTAGCAATGCCAGCACCAACCTGGCATCAACTTGACAGTGACTACCCCTGACACACGTTAGTAATCTTTCCGGCGCGAGCACCGTTCGCTAAAACACATTTAGCAAATCAGAGAGGCAACACGAACCTTGAAAAAAGCCCTGCATCCCTCACAGCTGTATGCACCATAATGGTAGAATGCGTGTCCGGACCCGCAAACAGCACACTTCTTGGCTTCGGAGTTATTTTGTACTATTACTGGTTTGAGAGCGACCTTCCACGCCGTCCGCTGAGTTTGTGGGCTGAAAATTAACGACAATTTACGTATACTAAAAAAATTACCTCATAATTGCGGTTTGGTTATTTGGGCAAAGGCCCGCAAGCTTCAGCATTCCCACCGAGCCTTGGAACACATTGAGTGCATCTGCGAAGCTCTGCAGCTGAGGGCGCTGATCGGTTGACATCCTGGAACTCGCTCTGGACGAAAAAAATTGTGAAGAAGATAGGCTACCGTATACCCGCCAGGTCTACCCGCCTTTTGCTGAACAAGCGGACCGGGCGCCCCGAGCGTGTTGACTTTTATCGGGCCCCCGCCCGATTTTTGAATAAATTACTAACGACGCTAGAGTGAAAGCGCGCAAATGATCGACCTATCGAAATTGGGAGAGAGGGTGGATGTAGGGAATTTTGAGAAGTACTGCGAAAGAAGCACCTCCAAGCTAAATTAGCTGAATTTTCCAATTTATAGCTATCATAGTAACTGAAAGCTCACGAAAGGATATCTCATAGCCTTCCTTCTAACTTGTAAGTCGATTTTGTCCGACCCCCCAGCGTTACCGTAGAAGCATTTCATTTTTTTTATAACCGTTGATTCAAATCCATCGCGATAGGGGCAATCCGGAATGCCCTATTCATGGGAGCAGATCGGTCCTAGCAGGTGTGCATATATCTAGGCGTGCGGGTAAAAGTCAGGTTCGTGTCAGGACGGCCGACCGGGAAAATCCGACCTTTCTGTACCCAGGGCCAGCGAGGGGTGCACGGTACCAGCTCAGGGCAAAAAGGGAAACTTACTAAAATAGATTTATCTCGCCAATAAAATTTCGGTCTTCACGGCCGAGTGATGTTCTGATACCGAACGTAATATAAACCTTATTTATAAAGCAACAATTTGTGCAAAGCGTGGTTGGGCCTGGCCATCGGAAACAATGAGGCTTTTTTACAAGTAAAAAGAGAGACGTTTTTATTGGAAATCGTCTTTCCGTACGAGACCAAGCGCACCATGTTCCAGAATTTTCGCTGATTCCGAAGCTGTTTTTAGGATCGGCGAAACGTTCCCCTTCAAAAAGTGATGCTTTTCAAAAGAAAAGGGAAAAATTTGGCCGAATTTGCCCTTTTTAGCTTCAATTCGTTTCGCCGATTCTGAAACAAGGCTCGGAATCAGCCAAAAAATTCAGCACCAGATAGGCTTGGTCCGGCACGGAAGCTCGATTAACATTAAAAAACCCTCCTTGTCACGTTTTGGTGGTATTTGTGATGGGCTGCCAGTCATTACTTCGAAAATCATTACTTCGAAAATCATTACTTCGAAAGTCATTACTTCGAAAAGTCATTACTTCGAAAGTCATTACTTCGAAAAGTCATTACTTCGAAAAGTCATTTCTTCGAAAAGTCATTACTTCGAAAAGTCATTAGTTCGAAAAGTCATTTCTTCGAAAAGTCATTACTTCGAAACGTCATTACTTCGAAAAACATGCATAGCACGTCGCATGAAAAAAATCGGCAAATTTTTACTTTACCCCCAGATTTTTCGATGTTTTAGTTGGTTAGTACGAACATTTTCTGATGTCACTTCAGAGAGCATCAAAACATACACGGACATTTTTAGGTAAACATCGTGATGCTTCAGTGATTGACTGCAAGGATCATTATAACAAAATAATAATTCGTAGAGATGGGGTAACTACTAACAATCCTAATACAGACCGAAACTCTACACAGTAATAGTCTTAATAGAATAGGCATATGGTACCTACGCAATGGTTTTATCGTCATTGTCATGAATTTCGTGATATGAACATTCCAAATTAGCATATTTTTCGAAGTAATGACGTTTCGAAGTAATGACGTTTCGAAGTAATGGCTTTTCGAAGAGATGACTTTTCGAAGTAATGACTTTTCGAAGAAATGGCTTTTCGAAGAAATGACTTTTCGAATTAATGACTTTCGAAGAAATGACTTTTCGAAGTAGTGACTTTTCGAAGTAATGACTTTCGAAGTAATGACTTTCGAAGTAATGACTTTTCGAAGTAATGACTTTCGAAGAAATGGCTTTTCGAAGTAGTGACTTTTCGAAGTAATGACTTTTCGAATTAATGACTTTCGAAGTAATGACTTTTCGAAGTAATGACTTTCGAAGTAATGACTTTCGAAGTAATGATTTTCGAAGTAATGACGTTCACCCTTTGTGATGAACCTACTATCGCGAAATGAGATGTTTGCGATTGCAAAACTCTGGTTTTGCAAAAACTTGGATGGATTTTAGGTTTTTTCGAGCGTTGAAAAGTCAATTCGTATCGTCCGTCACAGCGGCCCGGCTCTTAATAAAACGTCCGGTAGCTTTGGAAAGGAGGGAACCGCAACGCGGGCGATAGTCGCGTCGCGCAATTGCGAAAGCAGGCCTGCGCAGCTAAAAACCGGTTGCTATTCCGCGCACCCGCACGCAACGCGCGAAAAACACGTACAGTACGCCCTTTCCCTTGAAACATCCGGACCGAACCCATGGGCGGTTGTGCCGTGCGACCACTTTTCATAACGAGTGTTAGCCTATGGAAATCAGTGGGTCCCGGTCCGCCTGTTTGCCGAAGCCGGGGGCCGCATCCGTTTCCGATGTCATTAACATATTGAAGGTCAACTCGTACCTATGATATGGTCACGCCTCAGTGTTTACATTTTAGGTTAGTTTATGCAAATCAGTCGTTCCGTACCCGGAATAGCTGCAAGGCCGAAATGATTGCTGGATTAGCTTTAAACATAAACAATGCCCATTCTCTATCTAATTACCATATTGTCGGCTTTTTTGCTGGTGTTCTATTGGCCTTTTTTAGAAGATTTTAATATGAAGCGTAAGGTTGAGGCTGATGACCGATCGCTGTTTTAGCCGACATCATCCGGAAGCGTTGGGAGAGTCGAAAAACCGAATACTATAATAGTTCCATATTTTCCCAATGCAAGCTTGAAGTGATCGATCCGTTCGCCTATAACATTAATGCGACGTATAAAAATTTGGATCCGACGCGGAACTGCGACCGGAATTATGTCAGACATTTTTTCATCAATTTTTCATCCAGTTATAGAAGCCCTCTACTATTATAAAGGATAATGACCTTTACGTGGGAAAGTCATGGAAGTCGAAAATTGCCTATTGTCATGTTAGGTAGGGTTAAATAAGAGCCAAAAAAGTTTCGCTAGTTGTCCATATTATGTTTGGCGAAGGCGTCACTATCGAAATTACAAAGGAAGGTTGTATCCAAATGTTTCAATGGATATTTCGGAGTGTGAATTTGTGTTCACGGAATGTCGATATAGGCCGTCACTGGGCGGTGGATTGGATCAATATGTACACACAAGGATTGTCGAAAAGTCGGTTCAGCGTTGGAATTTGCTGATCTTTCTTTATAGAAAAGAGGAGCACGCGCCCCCCAAACCACCGAATTTTCAACCTGATGTCCATATTATACTTTTAGACTCTGTATCCTCCACGTTGGCTAGAAGGTTTTGGCATTTACGAAACTAGCCTTCCCCAAAGAAAAATTTAGAGCTCTCCCAAAAACGCTGAAATATATAGAGGAGGAAATGGGCGGCGTCATGATGCATCATTGGAACCGCGTGGCAGATAATAGTCAATTGAATGGCTTTGCCTTTACCTACGGTATGTAGCCTTTGGTCTAAAGAGAAAAAATAAAAACCTGTGGCTCTAATTATTTCATTTTGCTCAGGAAAAAGAATTACTGATATATACCGTGGGTTCGCGGGAGCCGAAAATTTGCGGGCCGAGTGGTGCTTTGATGAATACTGCAAAAACTTCCTGGATAACAAGACCGTTATTTTTAAGGAATACGAGCTGGCAGGTTGGTCTGATTGGCTTGGTGACTCGCATTTTATAGGATACAAAACAATGCACATCACGGAGAAGGAGGACATCTACACTTACCCGGATTGCTTGGGGTTCGAGCAGCGACACACCACCCATGATTATAGGTGACCATTTTTGGGTTCTTTTTGACAAAAAACGATATAGACCGATGGATAACCTTTTGAAAAGGGAGCCCTTTCTTCGCGGTACATTGATACAAAAATGTGTCGAGGATTGGCAAATGCTTTTGAATCAACACGCTAATTTTGCGAAGGCGTATAAGGGTAAAATTTTCCACTTTTTTCTTAGTGAAAGCTAGGTACACCCAAATTTGGCCTAACCTGGGTGACGAATCTGGTGCACGAGAGTGCGAATTTCCTTTGGCATGCAGATACATTTATGCAGGTGAGTGAAGAAAAAAACATATATATATATATAATCATATAAAAAACTCGGTGATTCTGATGTTCAAATTAAGCAGATGACTTTCAAATTTGTTCTAGAAATATTTTCGCTCGAATTCCAAACACTTTGATAATTCGTTTCTCTTCTTCATGGGGGATCATGGAGCGAGAATTGGGCCGGTTAGTGATTTGAATTTAGCTCCTTTGAGCCTAGCGCATCAACAGTAGACGGTCGCTTTAGACGGTCGATACCGAAATGGGGAGTCGAGAAATCAACAACCCAATGCTGATGCTAATAGTGCCAAAATTCTTGCGAAACAACCGACAGGTGAGCATCTCCTTGCAGTGCTATTTTAATGGAATAGTTATAGCTAATGGAAAATCTGCGCGAACATTCGGCAAAGTTAGGAACCCACTACGATCTGTATGCCACCTTTCAGGATATCTTGAAAGTAAGATACATTAAGTCATCTTGTTCCAGTGCTCAATTTATACAGAATGCCCAGGCTACGAACTACACAAATTTCGATTTTGTTCCTGTCCTGAATCCAAATCCGAATAACGGTACTTCTTTACTGCGGCCTATGGGGCCGTTCAAAGATCGGTATTGCAAAATAAGTTTCCGAAGCGATCTTTAGGAACTGTCAAAACATTCCCGTGACCACCGACTATTGTCTTTGTGAATTCAACAAAACTGAAAAGTGGATAGATAGAAGTAGTATCCTCAAGATTCTTTTAATTCTAGGAACCACGAGGCTATGGGCCGATTGGCGGTCAGATCGATTAACGATTTATTAGCCGCAGAGAAATTGCTGGACCTGTGTGCTGAAGTCGTCTTTGAAAAGGTGCGACCAAATCGATGAAAATCATGCAGCCATTTCAGATGGACTCCGTCTACTCATACGATCCAGAGAATGGGACACACCTCTACGAAGTCCGGTTCTATACAACCCCAAACCATGGCCTGTTTAGAGCGGTAACTTTCGATAGTCAGCAAACCAGAAGCTTTCAGAAAATGGCCGGATTAATATCATCGCCGGAAACCTTGAAAATTTGGGGACCTCCCATACGTGTCAATAAGTACGGCGCCACTTCCCAATGCATCGTCGACTCGAAACCGGACTTCAGGCCGTATTGTTATTGTAAAAATCAATAAAAGTTTTTTTCAAAACGCAAATTCACGGGGTTACAAAATTTATTGCGATACACGGCCAACTCATAAGTTAAACCCGAACGTCACAAAATCATAATAATAAATTTGTATAAATTTTTCCAATAGCACCTGGTTGGTCATCAGCTCTTCGATATAGAATTTCTAAAGCCGATCAAAATCCGTTAAATGGTTAACGGACCAGTTTTGACGTTTCCCTCATTCGGTGCGGCGATTTGTACGCCAATTCGGTTTCAATGTAATTCAGTTGCCTATAAATGGACGGAATTTATCGTGAGAACTTCCCAAAAACCTTTCTTCGACGTTGGCGTGCTGTAGAAAATCTAGAAATTCGGTCCTGAGTCTGGATAGCCCGATGGCTCCATTAAGAAACGGAATAACTTTCATCTGGGGGAATGCGAGGAAGTTGCAATACCTAAAGGTGGCTAGAAACACATACAGGTCTTTCCCCAACGCACCAGTTTTGCGGGAAAAAGTGCATGCCCTCGGTGCCGATATATCGCCAGTGCTCGGTCCTCGCATACGATTGCGCGCTCGTATAAAGTCGACCCAGAAAGCAAGGCAGGCTCCCGTTGCATCCGTAGCAATAACGGTGAACCAACTCAGGCACAGTGCCTTTCCTAAAGAAAATTTTATTTTTAATGCTCCTCACGGCCGGAGGGAACTCTGAGAATCTTACATGATGCACTTGTCGATGAAGCCGGACATAAATCGCTCAAGCGGATGTCTGATTATGGCCAACATGTTCCAGTCGTTGATGTTCTCCGAGCTGTTCGCCGAGACGGGCGAGTCGGCGATTTCGATGCGTGGGCCGCAGAATCTAATATAGAAAAGGTTATATGCTTGAATCAGGGACGAAGCGTAATACAGGTAAGTTTCGGAAAAATTTGTTTTTGATTTGTCTTCCGTTTTGAAACGTCTCAAACAAGCACGAAAGGCTTAAAAAATTTTTTTAAACCCAGATTCTGTATCCAATAGTTCTCTTTTCCCACCCTGACTTGAAACGCCAAAACAATTTCTTCGAATTTTCAAAAGCTTTCAAAATTTCAAATTTCAAACAATTTTTCCAGATTTTTCTGGCTACGTTTTAACTTTTTGTTTTTCGATTTTAACAATATGGATACCTGACGTCCCAGATCTCAGTGTGTATGCTTCGATTGTGGGCGATAAATTCCTTGTCGCAATCCAAATAGCATACGGTGGCTGCCAGGGTGGTGGACATGCTCTTTGCAATCCGGCAAACGGCAATCTTCTTTTTCTTCGTTGTCTAATCGAAAGCTCTATTTTTCGCTTCTTGTCGTTACCAAAAAATGGGGCGTCAGATGCACAAATGGCCGCAGGCACGGACTACCCGGGCCAAGCCGGCATTTCTCTGCTACCTTGAGGATGCTCTAGAAGTTTCTTTGGAACTGCAGGTATTCCGATTATTTTTTCTTTCTTTTGTTTACAATGTGCAAAACCAACCTGCCGCTTGTTCAGGGTTGTCGCGATCTGATAAAGTTGAATTGCAATAACGAATAAAAGCAGGCAGACAATAATTAGCCACCTCCAGCGCGTGGACGGACGGTGATAGAGCATTGCGGCAGCTACAGTGGACGATCGGTGTCTGAGCTCACAATGCACTACCCGTTTCCAAAACCCACCTCGGTATTTGACCATGAGGGCGGTCCAGAAATTCTGCATAAATCAGATGCGCTGCGCCCTGTAGGCCCCTTGGTGAAAATCGAGACGAGCTATTATAGTTTCGTTTCTCTGTGTGGTTATCTTTTTCGGGCGAGTCGCCCTCAAAAAACTGGTAGCTGTTTTGCGCTATAGAAATTTCTTGGCACAAAATATAACAGAGCTATTATGTTATCGAGTCCCTCAAAGCGTGAACCCAAACAACACAAAATCATAATAGAATATTTGAACAAAGTTGTCGAGTAGTTTTTTGTTGGAGATCAGCTGCTGTCGGTAGAAATCCTAAAGAATCTGCCTCACGTCTTAGGGTTACGACAAACCAGTTTCGAAGAGTCTCGCATCTGATGGGGCGATTTATAGTGCATCTCGTATTCAATGTAATTCATCTGGCTGCAAAAGACTTGTAGTTGATTGAGGGATTTTGAGACCTAGTTCCCACGTTGGCAACTTTTAAAAAATCGACAAGTCCGCTTCTTAGATCCACCAAGCCCTCCGCGCCGTTTAACAGGCGAATCACTCGCATCTGCGGGAAGTCAAGAAAATTACAAAACCTGTAAACTAGAACCATTGAATGGCTTAAGCAGAGATGCCTAAACCCTCTCGCCGGTTCCCTTTCGCTCTCTCTCTCTCTCTCTCTCTCTCTCTCTCCTCGGTTCTCAATCTCTCTTTCGCTCAAACTCACCAGTTCTGGGGGAAGAAATGCTGGCCCTCGAATCCGATATGGTTCTGGTCCCCCGTTCTGGCAAACCGCTGCGCACTTTCGTAGAGCCGATCCAAAAAGCATGGCAAACTCCCGCTGCAGTTATAGCAAATATGGACTTGTCCTGGCTGTTGCGCCTGCCTGTCATAAGAGACATGTAGGAGATGAACGTTACGACAGACCTAATGCATTTGTCCAGAAATCCCGATAAGAAGCGCTCCATCGGGTGACGAATTACGGCTAGCATATGCCATTCGTCAAGGTTTTGAGCCCTTGGGGGAGGGAGGTGGATTCTGTCGCCGCAAAATCTAAGTTTTATATCAGTATTTTCGTGATTTCTAGAACCAACCTAATGTCCCAAGTCTCGGTGTGTATACTTCGATTGTTTGCGATAAATGCCTCTTGACGCGCCAAGTAGCATACGGTAGCCGTCAGCGAGGTGGACATGGTTTTCGGGATCCGGCAAATGGCGATTTTCAGTTCAGTTGCTGTCTGAAGCGAGTAACTCCTAGATTTTTCGGCGTACGATAAAACAGGGTGTAATCCGTGCGAATGGCCGAATGCAAGGATTTCCGCGGCCGAAGTGACACTGAGGACCGGTTTCAAGGAGTGACACAGATTTGGTAGGGGCCTAAAAACGGCTTTTTGTTTGTTGAATAGGCATAGGCTTAGGCTTAGGTTTTGGCTTAGTAAGCTTAGACTTAGCTTTGGCTCAGGCCTTGGCTTAGTAAGCTTAGGCTTAGCTTTGGCTCAGATTTTGGGTCAGTAGGCTTACTAGGGAAGTGCAAATAAAAAATCCGGCAAACCGCTTAGCAAAAATATGGGTCTGATAGAGTCGGCGACGGGGATTCCGAAACTGCAATCAGAATTTGCAAAACGCTTAATACAAAAAAGTTATGAGCATTTTAAGTTTTGCACCAGGTACTCGGCCCGCCCTTATGAGCCCCTCCCAAAGAGGGGTGACCGCCTGTCGAGTGGTGTAGTGGCTAACTAGCCTGCCTCTGTGGGGGAGGGTCTCTGGTTCGACTCCCCGGTAACTTTTTGCTTTTTGGTCAATTCAACAACTTTAGAGTTTTTTAAAGTTTCAAAGTCGAAAAGGCCGTTCTCTTAATTTTTAAATTCATGAAACCGCTTACAAAGTGGTGGCGGGAGTGCAAGTAATTTTGCAGGTAGGGCACTAAAAAAATTCACCTGTTTTTTCGTAACGTATGCCTACACGCAGTCAATAATATAGACAATGTTAAAAAATCTAAATTTCGGTCTTCGAAGCTTTGAAAAAGTGTGAAGTTGTTGCCTTTGACCAAAAAGCAAAAAGTTTTGCATGACCGGGGAGTCGAACCAGAGACCCTCCGCCACAGAGGCAGGCTAGTTAGCCACTACACCACTCGACAGGCGGTCACCCCTCTTTGGGAGGGGCTCATAAGGGCGGGCCGAGTACCTGGTGCAAAACTTAAAATGCTCATAACTTTTTTGTATTAAGCGTTTTGCAAATTCTGATTGCAGTTTCGGAATCCCCGTCGCCGACTCTATCAGACCCATATTTTTGCTAAGCGGTTTGCCGGATTTTTTATTTGCACTTCCCTAGTTAGGCTTAGGCTTAAATGCAGCGTCCAACAACCTGGATCGTAGCTTTGGCGGCATATTGACAGTACACATAAATTTGGAGCAAAATAATGGCTAGCAACGCGCAACCAATGCCTATCCATCGCCATCTGGCGGCTGGCCGATGTGAAATCATTGCCAATTTCGGGAAAGCCCAGTTTGGCTGGTCGGAATATTCATCGCTCCCACTGCCATCCCCATATTTGAACACGGGGGCGTTCGCAAATGTGCATAAATCAGCAGAATTCAACGAAAAACTGCCTGGTCTCGCAAAAAGGCAGGCAAGAAATAAACGTAATCGTTTGCGAGAACCCTTAATTTTATTTCCGTTTTGCAACCGCGGACTACACGGTAAACCCAAATAACAAAAAGTCATAGTAGAATATTTGCATGAATTTGTCGAGCAGCGCCTGGCTGGAGAACAGCTCGGCGAGGTACTTGTCCTGGAAATCCAGAAAATTGGAATGATGTTGAAACGAACCATTAGCGTTGAGTCTGTCATTTGATGAGGCGATTTGAGGCTCAGCTCAGATTCGATGTATTTTAGTTGACTGGAATATTGCTTATTGAAGGTGTTTGGTTAGAAACCCACGTATCAGCGACTTTAGCTTCTTTCAAAAAACCTAGAAATTCGTTTCTCATCCTCGACAACCCCTCCGGGCCGTTGGTAAAGCGGATCACCTTCATTTGGGGGAATTCGAGGAAGTTGCAGTACCTGAAATGAATAAACGATCTTTCTATCTATCCGTCTCTCTCTCCCTCTCGTGCTCACTCTCCCGCTCTCTCTCTCATTCTCTCGCTCTCTTTCCCTTTTCACTCTCTCTCACTCTCCTCACCAATTTTGCGGATAAAAATGCAGCCCAACAAATCCAATATGCCGCCAATTTTCGGTTCCGGAAAATCGTAGCGCATGCTTATATAGGCGGTCCAGGAAACAGGGCAAATTGCCCTTACAACCGTAGCAAAAATGAGCATATTTCGGAATCATAGCCATCCTGAAAATCATGTTTTCCGGAGCTGTTACCGTAATACCAGATGCATTTGTCGATAAAACCGGACATGAAGCGCTCAAGTGGGTGTCGAATTATGGCCAGCATATTCCAATCGTCGATTGTGTCATTTCCAGATATTGGGGTTCCGATTTTTTCGATACGCTTGCCACAAAATCTAGAAGTCATTTCTCTCCGTCACGCGCTTTTTCTGTCTATCTCTCTCGCTCACTCTCTCACTCTCTCACTCTCTCTATTTTGAAAACGCTACCTTGTATCATAAATCTCGGTGTGTATGCTTCGATTCTGGGCCAGAAATTCCTGCTCCCGGTCCAGGTAGCATACAGTAGCCGTCAACGTCGTCGACATCGTTTTTGCGATCTTGCAAATAGCTATTTTCTTGTCATCGGTTGACTAGAATTGTCGAGCTTTACCATAGCTTATCAATTTCGAGCTTACCAAAAAATTCGCCCCCATCGGGACGAAAGGGCGGAGGCATGGGTTGTCGCGGCTGATGCGGCACTTTTCGGAAGCGTTTAGAAGGAGCTGAAATTTTTTGAGGCCCTGGAAAAAATGCGGTTTCAACCGGACTTTCCTTTTAGCGGGTAGTGAAACTGATATTAAAGATATTTTGGTGTGGAAAATGGCACTCTAAATGGTCTAGCTTTCCCTTACGCATTTCTTTAATACCCAAATTTCGGCTCTTCTAGAAGCTAAAGTAGCTAACCTGACTTAGGCCACCAGCCCCTTCACTACGTTCTGCTTTGCACAATATTTCGCTTGCTGGCTCATAGAATGTTATACAAACGATTAGAATAAAGATACAAGCGATTAGTAGCCAGCGCCACTTAAAAACCGGGCTAGCAAGCATCGGATCGAGCCGTAGGACCCTTCGTGCAGATTTCAATTCTCAATTTTCGAGGCAGGAACGCGTTTCAATATTCGGAGGTTGGGGGCCTCCAGCTGTGCGTTTTTCGCTCGACCACGTGGGCGAGGCACAGAAGATTGAGAACTGGCAGAGGACCAGACTTTTGTAAAAATGAATGCCCGGAAAAAATTAATGCAAGGTTTGTTATGTCCACACCGCCAAAACTCTTTGCCCACCAGGTTCTTTACCTTAAAAAAGTCTAAATCTTTATGCCGTTAGTTCTTTTGCCGCATCGCGGACACGCGACGCGTCGCGTGCTGAGGAGCGGGCCGACTTGCACGCACCGGAAATCCATAGTCAAAAACATCCACTGCGGTGTCTTGCCCGTTCCTTTAAAGGCGCGTTAAAGGTAAATTCGGCTCTCGTTCTGAAACCCTGGTCAGCGTGGAGAGTTTGGCGGCCCGGCCCGCGGACGGGGCGACGAGAACCTCGCCCCACTCCCCTTCCCATCCCTCTCATGGCCTAGTGGTCCAAGGCGCTTGCCCCAGGGCGAGTGCTCCGGGTTTGCGGTTGCCCCACGTTTTGCACCTACCGTAACCTTGCGTGTTAAACTGTTGACCAGTATAGGATCTTATATTTCTCAACGAGAGCGGAATGTCCCTTTAACGCCTTGCTATAGCGTGTAGTGATCGAGATTTATTCAAAGCAGCAAAAAGAGCTGTTTATTGAGAAGTGACGTCATCGAACGGGTAGTCGGGATGGCCCCTAGAATACACACTCTTGAAGCCCGAGAATTAACCTACAAATTGATTTTCATCGGGTAGAGCCGGGGACGCGAGTCGATCGCATCGAGCTCGTCCATTTCCTCAAGCGACAACTCGAAGTCGAAAATCTGCAATGAATCCAAAATATATTGCGATCGGAGCAGGATTACCTCAATATTCTGCTGAATTCTGACCGGATTCGTGCTTTTTGGGATCACCACAATAGCATGTTGGATTAGATGGCGTAGTAAAATCTAACGAACTTTTAGTTAAAACCCAAAATTAAAATCTACCTGTGCCGGAGTTTTCTTATGTTTTTCAGCCAATTTCACGGTGACGGGATCGTCGATGGGCCCATCGGAGGGCCAATTGTATTTGGGATCGGATTTTTTGCCTGGGAACGAGTTGTAGATTTTAATAAAATTTTATACACCAACCTGGGCATCCAATGGGTGCAAAAGCAGTCACTACGATGCCATGCTTTTTGCAGGTGTGGCGGAGTTCTTTTTGTGGGAAGTGGATGTGGAGCTCGACCTAAAGGCGTAATAGATTTTCGATGCAGCTTTCTCCCCCTCTCTCTCTCTCTCTCTCTCTCTCTCTCTCTCGCAAACCTGATCATTCATCGGCTTGATCTCCTTCGCCTTTTCGACGATATATTCCACTTGCTTGGCATTGAAATTTGACAGTCCGATCCCTTTGACCAGTCCATCCTTGTAGAGCTAAAAAGTTTGACCCCTAAAAACCAAACTGTTTATTATCTACCTGCTCCAGCTCATGCCACGTCTCCGCAATGTCGTGCTCCACGTCGAACTTGTAGTTCGGCAGATCCGGGATGAATTGCTCCAGGGTGCCCTGATTCTGAAAAGCAGCTTAAATGAAAAGCGTAAAGATAAAAATTTAAAGGCAGATTACTGACTTGGTAAGTTACGGGATTGTGGATCAAATACATATCAACGTAGTCGGTGCGTAGCCGCTTCAACGAGCACTTCAGGGCAGGGCGCACGAATTCCGGTTTGTGATTGCATTGGGCTAACTAAAATTTACAAATGTTTAGGCGAGGAAACCAAAGTTAAGTTTAACGTTAAACGCTTTTTTGAACGTGAGTTTCTTAGATTTAAAGCGTCTATCCGTTATAAAACAAACTTCCAATTTTAAAAAGCGTTTTCGCCTCATATATTTGTATATAATTTTTCTCAAGGTATTGATGTAACGCTACCGCACACCTAATTAAATACTAAAATAATTCACGTCAGGATTGATACGGATTTTAGAGCTGTTCAAATAAATTCACCTTTGTCGTAATGTAAACGTCTTCCCGCTTCAATCTCCCGCTTTGAATATATTCCTCCAGGACCTCGCCGACGACATGTTCGGTTCCATAGCTAAATATTTGGTTTACAAAGTGCAAAACTGTATTGGATGAGCCCAAAACCATAAAAAAAACTTGCATAGCGGCCGTGTCAATATGCCGATACCCAGCGTCGAACGCTTTTCTCAACATTTCACGTGTCGTGGAGTCATCCGCTGCCTGAAACCATTGCTTTAAAAAGCAAAGAACAATAGAAGAGTGCATTAATAAATTTAAAGACACACCTTTCCGCCAGTTCCAATCCCGATAAATGGCATCTCGGTACCATTGAGGAGCTTCGCAGCTTTGATCGTCATTTTCTGGAGGTATTTGCCAAGTGGAGAGAGCGAGAGAAAGAGAGACAGATGGGGAGAGAGAGCGAGAGAAGAGGGAGAGAGAAGAGAGAGAAAGAAGCCAAAAATTCGCACGCTTTACAAAAAAAAACTTTGAAATCGCAAAAAAATAGGAAATTAGAGGCTTTTCAAAGTACAGAAAAGAAAATTCAGCAAACATGATCCATATTTTGCTGCGGCCGTGCTATCGCAGCGCGCTGAAAAGGCGAAAGAGGCAAGGCGCGGTGACCAGAAAAACAAGGCGATAAACCATTGTGTCTATGTCAAAGTCGGATTTTAGTCCGAAGAGAATTTTTAGGCAATGCCATAAAAAACATCATAATTCACGAAAACTGGCATACAAATAACCGAACGCATAAAAGATTAGACTTCGGCTCAGAAATTCAAAGAAATATTCCGATTTTGCAATCTTACCGTGGAATTCATGCGTTAGATAGTGTCCCATTAAGACGAAAAATCAAATATAATGCACAAGACTTGTGCGATTCAAGGTCAAATTAGAAAGCAAAAGACCTTCCACCGGTCCGCATCAAAGTACCCAGTAAATAGTGCGCTGATGTCATGAACTATACATTATCTGAGCTGTGTAATGATTTGTTGGGGGTAGATAAGGGCTGACCTCCGCCAACCACGTGCAATTGCCGCGCGCAAAAACGATCCCAACAACAAACAGCAACGCAGCACATTCGTGCACAAGTTGCCTGGAAAAAAAACCCGCAAAAAGGTCTAGAAAAAAGATAAAAATTGGAGATTGGAAAGCTAGGTAGCCTAAATTAAGGAAAGTAGTGCGGTAAACTTGGTTCAGCGGCAGGTAGAGAGAGCGAGAGAGAGAGAGCTAGAGAGAGGGGGCTAGAGAGAGAGAGAGAGAGAGAGCGAGAGAGAGAAAAAAATAGAACGATAAAGAGAAATTTAAACTAAAGATCAGTCATGATATGCAGGAAACCACAAAATAGTTTCAATACGCCCTCCCGCACCCATTATTTTTATTGGCCGTCGAATTTTGAGGTGAGAACGGGTCAGCGGCCAGACAGTTTTGTGTCTTTTCCCATAGTTCAAAGATTTTTCGCGGTTTCTCAGGGGATTCGTTAATTTTTATTTAACGGTTTTAGGGTATAAAAGGGTCTTGGAAGAAAAGAAGGAAAGGAAAGATTATGCCGATTATGCTGATGTATAAAAATTTATAGGTGGACCTAGGCTGACTCCGAATTTTCAACAAGTTTATCGTTTCCGGTTCTTGTTCTATGACAGTTTTTTCTAAAGAGGCAAACGTAACTTTCAGAAACTTGGCTAAAAATAATCAGAATGCATCGGGTTCTGCTTTGCTTCGGGCTGGTTGCCCTGTTGGGAGGTGAGATCTTGCGTGACGCTTCGAATCAACGAGAAGCTTGGAAGTTTCAAATTCGTGCTGAATTTAACCTTTATCGTATATGTAATTAGTATTTTCGCAATAAAACTATTTTTCGCAAATCGATCGGGAAATCTAATGTTTCAGTCGCTTCCGCAATTCTGTTCCCGGCCGCGCAGCAGAAGCAGATTCTCCAGGTTCTTAATCTGAACGTTTAAAAAATTAAAATTTGGTTGTAGGTGCATAACGGACTACGTTCTAACCTCTCGCGTGGAATTTACAAGTCGAAGGATGGGACCACTTTTGCCCAGGCCACCAATATGAGAACCATGGTGGGTTTATGATCAACTTTGGTTTGGTTTTAAGGTTTTCCATTTTACGATAAAATCTGCTTGATGAGCTTGAGTCTTTTTCAGGTTTGGAACAACACGATCGCCAAGATCTCCTCCGCTTACGCAAGCAAGTGCCCGGGGCTAAAGCATTCTGGTACGGCCGGGCTCGGCGAGAACATCTACATCATCTGGGGCGGAAAGGTCGATGGGCTAGGTGGGTATTCTCAAATCGATAAAGACACGCAACGCGTAGGGGCTGCGGCCAGCAACATGTGGGCCGACGAGTTCAAGACGAACGGGCCGAAAGGTTACGTTTTCTCTTCAGCGACTGGGCACGCTACGCAGGTGATTTTAGAGCGTTGATGTTTAGGCTTAGGCTTAAGCTTCGGCTTTGGCCTTAGCATGGGCTTCGGCTTTGGCTTTGGCTAAAGCCTAGGCTTGGGCTTACCTCGAAACCCGGACACCGCAAAATCATCTCCAATTCAGATGGCTTGGGCTAACACAACAGCCGTTGGTTGCGGCTACAACTACTGTTCGGCCGACAAGTCGTACTTTGTCGTCTGCAACTATTGGCCACAGTAGAAATATTGATAACTTTTTGAGAGCTCATTTTCAGGGGAAACTACGTCGGCCAGAAGGCTTACGACCAAGGGACCACCTGCTCGAAATGCCCAACCAAAACCAAGTGCGTCAAGGCCACCGGACTCTGCGCTTGAATCCACCGAAGAAAAAAATAGATATTGCCAATAAAATCCATTTGAATCAGTTTTTAATAAATTGTTTATTTTGCGTTTTAATTTTAGGGTTCAAAATTGCACGACCTGGCATTTCTCAAAACCATTGACGTGAAAAATTTTGTACACCCACGCATTTCGGAGTGATTGATGAGTTCCCATTCAAAAAAAATTCTGGTCACAAGTTGGCGCCCTGATCTTTTGAAATTTTCGGCCGGACTTTGAATGGATTTTCCCCCAAAAAAACTACGTTGATTTCGGGGATTTCTGAGGGTGATTAATGACAGTGCTTTCAAAAAAAGTTCTGGCAACAAGTTGAACCGGCCCGTCCCAAAAATGTCCATTCATTTCGGCAATTTACAATATGATGATCTATTGAAAATGCCCGAGAAGTCCTCCATAAAAATAGATGCTGCCTTTGGGAGGTATCATTCATGATGAATTCGGCTCTGTTCGTGGCAGGGATCATTGCCATTTTGGGAGGTGGGTTTGGTGATTTGAAATCCAAGATATGGGGGGAATTGTAATAACTAAAGTGAGGTAATTCAGACGGAAATTTTTCATTAACATTTTTTTACGAAAATTGAATTTATTTCGAATTTTTTAACTTATATTTTTTTTTGATTTTCACAAATTATTTTGGCCGTTTAGTGGCGGCGGCCATCGTTTTCCCCAAAGATCAGCAGACCGAGATCCTGAAGGTAGGTTTCAGTTTTTTTCTCAGTTACGAGGACTCAAAAATTCATAATTTTGAAGTTTAGAATGCGAGATTATGTTGTCGAAATCGCAAAGTAGCAACAATTTTTTAATGTTAATGTTGAACCTGTTGAGCCCGACCTACTGACCTTCGAGACTCTGATAGAAAACCCGATGCAACGCTTTCAAGGTTCACAACGCGTTCCGCTCCAACCTCTCCCGCGGCGTCTACAAGTCCAAGAACGGCACCAAGTTCGCCAAGGCCACCAACATGGTCAAGATGGTCGGCTTTTTCGGATGTAGCGTAAAGAATTTCTAGGTCTGGAACTCAACGGTAGCTGAGCGAGCGTCGGCCTATGCCGATAAGTGTGCGAAGGGGCATTCGGGGGCGGAGGGTCTCGGCGAGAACCTGTACGCCATATGGCCAGGACAAGTGCCCGGCCTGGGTAAGGAGAAACGACATTAAAGGCGCTAGCAAGTCAAAATCATTTTTAAAGGACCTGTAAAAGCATAATTACACATTTTGCTGATGATTATTGGTTTTGGAACTGTAGTTTTTTGCATTTTTTTGGTATTAGATGGAACTTTTAGGTGCTTTGGCCAGCAAGGCTTGGGCTGATGAGTTCCTCGAGCATGGGCCGCAAGGATACGTTTTCACCATGGCCACTGGGCATGCCACCCAGGTCAGTAGCCATTTTGTCTGATCTTTCGACGGGTTGGGTATAAAATTCCGCGTAATCGGTCACTCGCTTACGCGTATTAAAGTCGGCTACTTGGGCATTACTGGGTTACCGGGGAGTGCGGTATAAAGGGGGACCGTACATTTAACGAGACTCGAAGGAGAAAACTAGCCTAATCTTAAAAAAACTTTGATTTCGGATTTTGGTCAAGCAATCGCAAAATATCAATTTGTTTTAATTAAAATTTTGTATTTTTGTTAGGAGTAGTAAAACGCAGTGTAGAAACAATTCCCCTATTTCCATAAAAAATCTATGATAAAGAAAACATTTGGTTTGCCCCCCCATAATGCGAAAGATCCAAAACTCGATACCTTAAATGCCTTGCTCGGCCCTTTAAAACACGCCCCTCAGATGGCATGGGCCGAAACGACGTCCGTCGGCTGTGCCTACGCCTACTGCACCGATACCCATCATGTCGTGTGCAACTACTGGCCTCAGTGGGTTTCGCGGAGTTTTCTTTTTTCTTCTTTTCCGCAATTTACAAGGTGTTAGGCAGGATTCCAACCTTTAAATTCGTTGCTTTGCAGGGGCAACATCCAAGGTAGCCAAGCGTACACGCAGGGCAAGACGTGCTCGAAGTGTCCAACCGGGAAGAAATGCGAGAAAAAGACCGGGCTGTGCGTCTGAATTTTGTCGAAAATGTCGTAAATTACGAAAATGCTGATAAATTGCATGATTTAAATTGGTTGGGTTATTCTCAAGAGCACGGATACAATGCGTATTCAGCTAGAGCGAAAGAGAGAGAGAGAGAGAGAGAGAGAGAGAGAGAGAGAGAGAGAGCGCGAGAGAGCAAGAGCGAGAGCGAGAAAGAGAAAGCTAGATTGAGAGAGAGTGAGAGAGAGACCGAGAGATAGTGAGAATGAGTGGGAGCTAGAAAAATTGTGAGAGCGAGGGTGAAGGAGGGATAAATTGAGAGAGAGCGACAGAGACCGAGAGAGAGCGAGGGTGAAGGAGGGATAAACTGAGAGGGAGCGACAGAGACCGAGAGATACGGAGAGTGAGAATGAGAGTTTGAGAGCGAGCTAGAGAAAACCGAAAACGTAAAAAATCTACGAAGTCTCACTATAAAATACAAAACATTCCACCTAAAAGATTTATTCGAGACGATACCCGGCCGGGGGTACGGCCAAAAAAAACACCAAAGCAGCGGGATGTGAGGGGCATACAGAGCAGGGGGAGGGGGGCAAGCACATATAGGGTGCATACGAGAGAGTGGGAAAATTGTGAGGGGAGTAGTTGGTGGTAGACGATGTCGCGGGGGTCGACCTGCAGCAGGTCGTTGAAGTCCCGACGGACCATGTCGCTGGTGGCGGGCCGATCTTCTAGCCACGGGGCGCTTGCTGCGCGGCCACATCGGAAACGAGCTCGTCGGCGACGAAGAACGCGTCTGAAAGGGAGGTAACGGTTGGGCAAGTGTTGTATCGAGACGTATCATGTCTTGCGTAGCGTTTCGTACTCACCATCAATCGTCTGCACTTTGCCGGTACGCGCGATTTCGGCCAGTTTGAGGGCAATAGAGGCTTGCACGGCCGCTGAAGCAAGGGGTATTTTCAAAATACCGAAACTTCATAATATCGAAATTAACGGAAATTTGTCCCCGTACCACAAAAAATTCTACGCGGAAAAACTCAAATACCGTGCCAAAAAATAAATGAACTATCGGCATTGCGAATACATGAACAACTACTCAAAGATCCTCACCACCGTTCGACTTGGGAATCAGATTGTTCTCCTGGGCGTCGCGGAGCAAGTATTCGTCGATGTCGCCGAGAGTGCGCTCCATCAGGTGCTTGATCGATTTGAGGCTCTTCGTCTTTTTGGCCCGACGCGGACCGAGCGCTTTGCCGACGATGTCGCCGGCCACTTTTTCGAAGAAATCCTCGCGATCTGTAAGCAGCGGAAGTGGTGCAGGGGCTGGTTGACAGCATACCTTGCTCTCCGAGGTTCATCCAACGGCGGCTGCCCTGGGTGAGGCGGAGCAGGACTTCGGCCACGGAAGCGGCCGCGGGACGGGCACCACCTGGAACAGATATTTTTGCGCGAATTTCGAGCAAAATTTCGAATTTTCGATGTTTTCTTTAAGCTGTCGATAATTTTTCCAATCTCTATCAGTGTCTGGAATTTTCGAAGATGAAAAATCAGGACCTAGAATTTTCAAGGCGTTACATTTTAAAAACTAGAAATTTAAAAATTTAAAATTTTGAGCCAATCAAGGTTTCGGAAGTACCTTCTCGATTGGATTCGCGCCAGGCCTCGATGTCCTTCAGCAACTCGGTGAGGACGTATTCAGGGTCGGGCGCCGGCAGATTCTCGTAACAGGGTGGCACGTTGGCAGGGGGGTGGCTGGCTTTGTACACGTGCTGCGAGGCGCATCCCCTGAAAATGATCATATCAAAATGCCCACACTTCGTAATGTCGAAAAGTGCAGTTGCCTAAATTCCGAAATGTCGAAGTCATACTGTAGAAATTTTAGTATAAATATTTTCCAAGCATTTTTGGGGTTTACAATTTCACAACTTTTGAAGTTTTTGGATGAATTCATTTTAATTGAATTCTTAACCAAACTTTTTTAAAAAAATTCCGGTAAGACTCTACTTTACCCCCCCCAGACGCCCCTTTTCTCTGCGCCCTCTCCCCCAGGCCTACTATCTCGCCTGGGGGGGGAAGTAGAGTTTAGCCAAGATTCCCACTTCACATTCGTGCAGATGCAGGTGACTTGCTCCTTCAGGTTGTCGCCCCCAGCCTCGGCGGCCTCGGCTTGCTTCCCGGCACTAAACATCGCCAGCTTCCGAAATCGAAGTTATGTCCCCTACAGAATTTGCGCGGCGAGAATCTCCATCAGGGTCTCGAGCCTGCGGCCATGGCGCTTCCTGAAGGGATTGGGGATTTTGGGCGAGTTCGGGACTCCCTACTTGTCGTCGGTCTTGAGCTCGTCGCGCAGCGCCGGAGGGATTTCGGTGTTGATCTTGCGCCCGCGGAGCCAGGCCATCACCAGGTCGAAGAGGCCGTTGGTGTTGAGGACGGCGGCGTAGCTGAAAAGGGCGATAAAGGCGTTTTTTCGCTACAATTTTTTAGGAACTGATTTTATAGAGCATCAAAAATGGGAAGGAGCTACGGTAAAGCAAGCCCTTACCCAAGCCATAGGCCCGGCCGGAAACGACCCATACCTGTTGATCAACGCAGCGAGGGCGCGCTTGTCCTGTAGGGAAGTGGTGCTGGCAAGCTGTTCGCCCCACTGCTTCATCTGCTCGCTGACCATCGGGTTCTCGCCAACGTCTTCCCGGACACGTTCGACGAGTGCCGGGCTGTCCTTCAGGTTCCGGGGCTCGACAGTCGTAGGGCCACCGGAAGGCGCCGGATCCGAATGCTGGTGCATCGGCCCGTCGGCCCCGGGCTCTTGCATCGCCAGAACGGAGCTGGAAAATATATTTGCATAACGGAGACCAGGAACGGAACATATTTGCGAAATACGGTACCCGGCGAGCAGCATCAGCGGCAGCAACGAGATGAGTCGCAGCTTCAGGCCCATCGTAGACGGTCGGATGGGTGGTTTGGCATGTAATTTTGATGTGAATTCCCTCTCATATACTCACTTTTCGAAGCAAAACTGGGCAGATTTCCGGTGGCCATATTCACTGGCTGGTTGCAGAATATGCAAATTTTTCTTTGAGCTTGAAAGTAGGAGTTTATGAGGGAATCCGTTTTATAGTCCAGAACGGCCTAGTAAGTTATTCGTAGTATTTTTTGTGAAATTCAATTTTATTGAGGTGCAAAAACCCGTTTTAAAACTCTTTAAAATTTGCAAATTTCATCTGAAAGCGGATTATTTTACTAAAATTTGTAAAACCTTTGGGGTTTAAGAATACTAACACAACAAACTTCCCCTTCCACCAGAAAATTTTGGCTATCATTCTATTCGGCCGACCTGACATCAGCGATCTAACCACCGTCGAATTTCTGGCTGCGGCCGAGTACGAAAGAAGAAGGATTTTCGAGAAGCTCGAAAACTTGACACTGCAGGTCACCAAGAAGAGACCGGCGGACCCCGGGTGGGCAAGCCGAAAAATGTGCTTCTCGTTTGGCCGTGACCGTGGATGTAAGTCGAAGCCGACCGATCGATCGACGGATATTTAGTTTTTTGCATTATGAAATCCCGATCTTCTATATTTCGGCATTATAGCATTTATTTTAAAAATAAGTAGCAAATAACAAAGATTTATTTATAGGAATCACTCAGGACATGGAAATTAAGGAAACCTCGCTGTTACGAAACGCCAACCCGCCGACGAAAAACCCGAATTTGCTTAGCATTTCTTTTGTCAAAGTCCCCTCCATAACGTTTCACCGTCGAGCGAAGCCAGGGTTCTGAAACAGACCTAGCGATCGGCTTCAGCAGCCAATGGGGGAGGGACGAGCTCCGATATTTTTCTTTTTTTAGCTAATTTATGTGGATAAAAAGTGGAAATTGTACCAGCGCCCGAGAAAAACGCACATATCAATATTTCAGTCATTAAAAAGTTAACACAAGAAGCCAATGAGAAAAGCAATTCTCCCTCTTTCTCTCTCGCTCGCTCTCTCCCCCCACTCCTTCTCTCTCTCTCTCTCTCTCTCTCTCTCTCTCTCTCTCTCTCTCTCTCTGTCGCTAGAATCCCAAAAATACAGTCCATACCAGATGACCTTAAGCTTGAACCTACCACGTGAGGCTTCAAACTACGTGATCCTCCCAAACTTCCTGCCATTCAAATTATTTTTAATTGCCAGTTCGGACGAACAAGTACAGGTTTTCATCCCTCCAGACAATTTTTTCGCGAAAAAACTGAACCGCGGAAGTGGGGGTCACGGAAAAACGGTCGGATTATAGAGTGCGACCATCACGCGCGACTAGTTCGTTTGCGGTTAGTTCGAGACCAATCGGGACCATATTTTGTATAAAACGGCGCTTCAAACTGGGGATGACCATTTTTGGGCGCCATGAATTCGCTTTTTGTCCTCGGGGCTGGGCTTTTGGCGCTGATTGGATGTAAGTTTGCTATGTTCATGGCTTGTCAAAAATGTTTTAACATATTGTTTCGTGCTATAACTTCAAAGTGTAAGTATAGAAAAGCGATGTGCTTGAAAATAAAATCTTTGAATCAATCAAATCAAAATCGGCTGCTTTAAATTTTCAAATAACACTTTTAGTGACTTCTGCTGTCGTTTTCCCGGCTGCTCAACAAACCCAAATTCTTGCTGTAAGTCATTAGGTTCCGGTTAGGAAGATTGTTGCCTGTTTTCATTAAAATTCAAATTTCTAGGCGCACAACACGTTCCGTACAAAGTTGGCTAAAGGAACATACAAAGCAATCTCTGATCCATCTGCATTTTATGATATCACAAGCTATCTAATACTTATTGTACAGAAATAATTTGAGTCAGTGGCCCTCAACTTTTTTCCAGCCCGAAAAATGTCGTCGAGCAAAAAAGCGCGCGCCGCGAGATGTCCCGATCAAAGGCCCGATATTTTTTCAGTTTGTTCCGTAGTGCCCTCAAATTATTGTTAGTTCGATGCCTCCGATTACCCTCCAGATGCTCAAATCCATTAAAAGCATTTTTATTGAGCCCTAGCCCTACCAAATAACAAAAATTCTACGACCAATTTCCGCCTGGAGCCGAATCGGCCAGAATGAGACACCTCAAAAATAAAAAGATTTTTCGGGAAAGTGCAATTTCGTTGATGTAGCCTTCTTCTTATTGGTTTGATAGGACGCATTGTTCATTTGTGGCCGGTTCTGAAGAATTTTGGGGAAGTTCTGGGCCAAAAATGATGCCATCATTTTAGCCCGCGGCGCACCTCAAAAATCGTCAGCAATTTCTAGCATTTTTGGATTCTAGTTTCCTGATAAAGCCTTATGAACCCAAGAACTTTTGGCATATGGTTGTTGTAAGCATTGTACATATTTTCTCATATCGTACCGATAAATTCACGCGTAATATCGAAAGGACGGGCGGTTTTTATTTCCATTTGACCGATGTCGTTCTCGATACTGTATCTTTTTTATCTTTTGACTTAGGTCGGTTTCGCAACGCTTACTACGTTTGAAAGAAGCGTGCAACATATCTTAGCCGTTTTATAAAAGATTAGCTACCTCCCGTGGCTACAGTCGGCTTCAAAAGTGTGACCATGCGATCACGATCCGCGTTGTGAAGCCGGAATTTATGTTTCTTAGCTCGTAGTTTTTCGTGATTGTTTAACCCGGTTAAAATTTGGATAGGATGCAACTGAACAACCACCAATATAGTAAAACCACTCTATTAAAGAAAATTTAGAGCCTGATTTTTGGGGGAAAAAGTGACGCGCAGGTAATTAATCGCCACCCTGTAGACGCACAACACGTTCCGTACAAAGTCCAGCCGGCACAAAATGCGTTGCTGCCAGTGGATTGTGCGCCTAGATGCATTACGGCTTATAGTGTAAAGATAAAAGACGTGATATCTGTGACCTTCTATCCACGCAAAAAAAAACGAGATTGTATGTGTTTACCTAAAAACTAGAGATGTTAAGAATCAATTAACAATCAAGATTATTTGCATACAATGGCACAATATTATTTGATTTGGATGGGGCTGAGCGCATACCAAGTAAAATAATATTATTTGACTCCGCTTGAGAGAGAACCAAGTAAGATTACTTGATTTACTTGATTTACTTGATCAAACAATAGCTTTCTGGAATTCTGGCATTTTTCGGATGGTAATGAACTTTATGACATGATCGAATGCTAATTCACTGGGTTCGCGGCACAATTGCCTGATTTGCATTGTGAATTTGCACAAAATCAAGTAATTTCGCTGAAAATCAAGTAATTCTCCCAAATCAATCAAGATCAAGTAAATCAAGTAATTTTATTTTACTTGATGCTTATTTAAGCAAACGGCGTAAAATAATTTTATATTTACTTGAAGATTTCGGATGCAATTAAAGTTGTTCAAGCAAATTTACTTGGTCATTATATTACTTGATTCGTAACATCTCTACTAAAAACCGCTGAGATTTGAACACCATGTCTTTAGTGAGATTTTAAGGAACTGCTAAGCCAACACTATCGACCATCCCACACTAAACTAAGTTGCTATCGACCCATTCTGGCGGCAGGGTGGGCCGGGGGCCCGCGTGACCCCAGCCAGCTGGCCCCGGGCACCAATCGGCTAGGCATCTCTATTGGTATCGGGCGACGCGCCGGCTAGATCTAGAACTGCGCGCAGCGCCATGCGATGAAATCAAGCTACAAATTACGACAATTTTACGTTTTAATGCTACTGCTTTTAATGCCATGAATTCCTTATTTTTACCTAATTTTGTCCCACAGAATTTTCTCTTTATCTTTCTCCCTCTGTCTCTCTCGCTCTCTCTCTCTCACACCCTGTCTCACTCTCTGACTATCTTTCGCTCTCTCGCTCTCTCTGTCTCACTCGCTCAGTAATATAACTCGAGCGGTTGCAGCTCGATCGAAGGACAAAACTTTATAGATAAAGCTGATAAATTTCCGTATTTCCCCATCGTTTTCATAAATTTTTAGATTGATCGCTCTAAACCTTTTTGTGTTTTTAGGTCTTGGCCCGAATTGCGGAAATTTCTCCAAACCCATCGCTTTCTCACAAAAAAGCGCTTCATGATCTCGTGAAATAATTCGAACACGGTAAGTAGGGCCATTTCTTCATTTTTAGGGCTTGTTTAGATGTTTATTTTTTGACGGTAGCTTACCTAGACATGTTATTATCACATTTCAGAAATTTTCCCATCATGCTAAAAATACTCCAAGGTTTTGCGTTGCGTTGAAAAACTATGCGTAGAAATGGGCAAACACGGCCACCGAAAATGGAACTCAAACGTGAGTTTGTTGCGAAAAGCGTATGGGGTCTGCAAAGTGGCCCATAGATTCGCCCTCCATCCTTTTTGCGGCGTTGCCGTTAATATTTACTTGCTAATCGGCTATATTTAATTATGTTTTTAGAATGAAGCCACTGCTAATACTAGCTTTACTTCGCGTGGCAACCGGTCGTCTGGTGAGGATGCCTTCGTTTGCTGGAGGAAGAGGGCCGGATATCGTGCAAAAGCTGAGGGAGCTGTTCAAGGGCAATATATTTAAAACAGTCGGCGGATCAGTAACACACGGAGGACTGGTTGGTGCGGCGATTGAAGCCCTCATCGATATCCTCCCAGGCGATAATGACAAAGGTAAGCAAAAAAACGTAATTTAATGTTTCCCTACTAGCAACACTGACCAAAATCCTTTTCAGAGGTGAAACACACGCTTCGTTCTTCCCCATGCGTTTCACGATCAACGATGCCCACATTCTCCATCAATTTCAAGTGTGTCGCACGACAATTGTCGCGTTGCCCCCTAGCCTGAGAGACTGGCGTTGCAGTCAGGCTCACGTTGCACCTAATATGACCCTGTTGTGATTATGATCGCCGTTTTATTGCATTGCCATCCTTGCATCGACATTAAATACAATAAAATAATATTATGAACCGGAAATGAAAATGCACTATTTAAGATCTCCGCTGCCACAGAAAGAACATGGACCGATGCAGCGATTGGAGAGTACCTGGCTTGCTAAGAAAGGATGAAAAAGTTGGAATACCTGATAAATTACATAAAAAATCAAACTAAACGAGATGGCTGTGTTCCTCTCTCTCACTTCTGCGCGCTCCCCCCTCCCTCTCTCTCTCACTTTCCCTCTCGCTCTCTCTCCCACGCTCGCTCTCCCTCACTTGCACGCTCAGGCCCTCTCTGTATCCCTCTCGGTCTCTCCCCTTCTCTTTTTCTCTCTCTCTCTCTTCTCTCTCTCTCTCTCTCTCTCTCTCTCTCTCTCTCTCTCTCTCTCTCTCTCTCTCTCTCTCTCTCTCTCTCTCTCTCTCTCTCTCTCTCTCTCTCTCTCTCTCTCTCTCTCTCTCTCTCTCTCTCTCTCTCTCTCTCTCTCTCTCTCTCTCTCTCTCTCTCTCTCTCTCTCTCTCTTTTTCTCTCTTACTCTCTCTCTCAGTCCTGTCCCTCTCACGATCTAATCTCCTTCCAGTTTTATCTCCACTCTGCTTGTGATTTATTAAAATCTATTCAGCACGATTTATTCACCATTAAAAACAAAAACCATCAACGCAAGGTCACGATCATCATCATCATCGATTCCGGTATGCTCCACGTCGGCAATTTCCACAATATTCAGCGTGAGAAAGAATCGCACAAGCAGCGCAGCACCATCCTCTCTGCTAATGCGGTAGTAGACACACTCACGGCCGTAAGTCCGGAAAAATTTTGGGTACTCCGCGAGAAGCAGCGGGGGATCAATTGTGTCGAAAAGTGGGTTGGAGACCAGGGTTATTATCCGGACCTCGCGCACGCCGGCTTGCCATTCCGCAATTATCACCTGCAAAAAAATTGATAATGATGTGGAAATTCATAATGTCGTATTTCACAATGTCGGAATTTCACAACATCGACATTTCAATATGGCCAAACTTGATAGTATTTGTTTCAATTTTTGTTTTTATATAGAAAATCCTGCTATTTCAAAACGCCATGGGATAGAGCGTCAAAAATTATGCTAAGATATTGAATGTCAGTCCAAAAAATGTTATTTTTAACTATTTTTAATTGATTAAACTTTTTAGCTGAATAAGGTAATAATTTTAAATTGTCGTATTTCGGGCTGAAATTAAATCGTTTAGTATAATTTTCGCCGCTTTATCCGATGGAACTAATGAAATCCCGACGGAAATCCTGAAAATGCCAAAACTACTGATCACCTTATGGTTATCCTTTTTGGCAAGCCGATGTTTTTCTTGTCAATAACTAATTCATAATGCATTATTTCGGACTCAAATTGAATCTCCTAGTATATTTTTTGATGCTTTATCCGAAGGCATTCATGAAAAACAGCCAAAAAATATCCAAAATTACGGTCTATGAAATTCCCATATTTCGACATTATGAAATTTCGACATTATGAAATCTCGACATTATGAATTTCGACATTGGGGCTTACGACATTGCGATAGCAAACCCACCTGCAGATATGCCTCCAATACTGATCGCGTTGTCCGATTGGCCTCCATGCGAATCTCGGGCATCCTCAGTTGGGTATATTGCGATATTGGGAGCAGGGTATTTATCTTCAAAACATCAGCCGATTCGCTTAAAAATTGGAGCAACTCCTTCTTTGCGGGAATTGCTTGTTGAATCGAGAGCATCTCATATCCTCCGGCTGGCCGATGACGTACCAGAATTGCCAGTAATTCTGGGTCCGGAAAATTCAGGTCAAACTCTTTTGCGCGGAGGTCGGTAGCTACGGAGGTCGACGTCTTCCCGAATAGCGTCAACTTCGAGACCGTCGAGCGGTGGAAGAGCAAGTTGAAAATTTCGAGGCTTGGGCAGTGTGCCCTCCCCTGGGCTTGCGAAAAATATCTTCTACCAGCCCCATCTTCCAAAATGCTGACATCATCCCAATGCTTGTCGCAGCATCCTTTGGCCACCTCTAGCATTTTCTTGCTGGTGATGGCTGTTTTGAAGAAGTCCTTCACATCCATATATCGCAAGATGGCGTGTTGTACAGCGACCGTGAAGTCACAGAAGCTTGGCTCCGTCTAAAACGCAGGGATTCGGATTGCCGCGGATTTGCCGGAAAAATTAAGAGAGAGGGAGAGAAAGTTGAGGAGCGAACAGCGAGGAACTTCGAAATTAGAAATACCATAATTTCGGAAAGTACCATTTCAGGAAACCATCATGATACCAAAAGAAGAGAGAGAGAGAGAGAGAGACAGAGAGAGGGAGAGGGAGAGAGAGGGAGAGAGAGGGAGAGAGAGCAGGAAAGATAGATGAGGGAAACAGCTTGTTAGATATTCAGTAATGTTATCCAAAAAAAGCGAAGCATCTGGTATTTCGCCGCGTCGCGTTCAATCGGCCCCGAGTTTGGACCCGAAGTGTAACAGACCCTAAATAACGACAATCCTGGCTTATGGCCTTATAGCTACCGTGGTTCTCGAGTTATAACAAAAACACTGATTTTTCCGCAATTCTAAACAGTTTTTTCGGCTATCGATTTGCATCAACTTCCGACGGCTGCAAATCCCTAATTTCGCTTAAGATCTTGGGAAGTTTTGCGTTGTAAAAATCGCTTCAGTCGACGCTTTTTTTATCAATTTTAGTCTGGAAAAATTTTTTAAGGTAAAGAAGGTCTGCCGAACCATTTTCGCTTAATATTTAGGGGGTCCAATCCCACGGAAACGCTATCAAAAATGAAAATAAAGTTTGGTTTTCGGATAACTAATAATCTATTGTAGCTACGGGGCGATAGGTCAGGATTGTTGTTATTTAGGGTCTGATACGGCGCTGCTCCAATTTTGGGGCTGATTGGATGTAACACGGCGAAATGCCAGATGGTTCGTTTTTTTCTGGGACACCCTGTATGCTATGAGGTATTAATTATGGCGTATATAATTGTATATTTGATGTATTACTCCAGAGTTGATACTTTGACTCTTACCTTAACCGAAGCCAGAGATGATCCCAATGTCTCGATCTGCTGGGAGGTTCGCGATAGCTCATTTGTCAAATCCATTTCCATGTCAAACTGAAGCGAATGCATGGAACTGTAATTGTTGTATGTATACCCTTGAACGTCTAAAATACCTATGGCTGTCCTCTTTAATCTTCATCCGCATTAACTCTACGTTCCTCTGACTTTCGGCGTCCTGTTTTTGGAGTCGTAGCTCTGAAGTGTCGTAATTAAGGTTATACCTTTCATTGCATACCTTCAGCTTCGGCCTTTGCACATTTTAACGCCTTCTCCAAGTGGTCGCTGAATTGTTTCGACTAAAAATCAAGATTTAATGTGGCCTTGAGGTATTCATTGTCGTATAGGTATTTTCGCTTAATATTTAATGGGTTTAATCCTACGGAAACCCTATGAAACACGAAAATAAAGTTTGTCTTTAGTATAACTAAAAATATGTTGTAGCGACGGGGCTATAAGTTAGGATTGTTGTTATTGTGGGTCTGAAACACCTCTGCTCCAATTTTCGGGCCGATTGGATGTAAAACGGCGAAATGTCAGATGGTCCGTTTTTTTGGGTCACCCTGTATGGTATGAGTTATTAATTATGGCGTATATTAATGTATATTTAATGTATTACTCAAACCCAACTCTTACCTCAACAGAAACCAGGGATGATCTTAAAGTCTCGATCTGCTGGGAGTTTTGCGCTAGCTCATTTGTCAAATCCACCACTTCCCACGAACTGTAATTTTTGTATGTATACTATTAAACGTCTAAAAATACCTATGGCTGTCCTCGTCCATCTTCACCTGCATTAACTCTATCTTCTGACTTTCGGCGTCCTGTTTTTGGAGTCGTAGCTCTGTAGTGTCGTAATTAGGGTTATACCTTCCATTGCATACCTTCAGCTTCGGCTTTTGCACATTCTAACGCCTTCTCCAAGTGATCGCTGAATTGCTTCGTCTAAAGATCAAGATTTAATGTGGTCTTGAGGTATTCATTACATTTGCCAACTCTGCTTCCACGATTCCAAGCCGGGTTGATAATTCGTCCCTGTCTTTCAGGGCAGATTCGAGCTTCGAAGCCTTTGACGCTTTCTCTTCTTTAAATTTTTTGATCTAGAACGTTTTCTTGAATTAAATTTTGTGTAATAACTTGTTTATCATAATCCGCCAATGCCATTTGCATAGCTTTCAGAGAGCTGTTGACTTCTTGAGCGGCGAATTTTTCTTTTGCCAATTTTGCTTCGAACTCGAGGCGTAGTTCTTCGAGCTGGAATTGACTACATGTTTCAGAGGTATGATTAAACTCAATACTTAATGTATACGTTAATAGCGCACGGGAATAAACGTAATTTAAAACTACCTCTTGTTTACGATCATTCTCTGGGCTTTCTGCCCTGCCATGACTTGTCGAAGCGACGGAGAGTTGGGCCAAAGCATCGTCCTAGAATCTCGAATCTAATTTTGCTAATTTTTTATACCTTTTCCTTGGTGACAATCGCGAGCTGCTCCTTCAACGCCTTTTGCTGCTCAGCCTGCTTCTTTAGGAGCTCCAACAAATCATCCCTCCCCAGCTGCTGCAGCTCCGAGGGTCCTGCCGTGGCGGCCGCCATCTTTGAGCTTTAGATCAACCACCTCTTGAAGCCGCCTCCAATCTTCGAGTAACTCAAACCGCCAGATAAAACCTTGAAAATCCCTATAAAAGCATATTCGTTTACATAAATCCGTTGACAAGCCAAGCTTTGCAAAAAGCCAAGTTCGGCAACCCGGTACGTCAAAAAACAGTCTCTTTAACGCTGGGCCGTAGCTTGTCAATGCAGTGTGGCAGGGCCCTGCCCAAGCCGGTAGACACCCAGTGACTCTAGGGCCCCTTTCGGGTATCTGCGTCTAGCCCCCAAGGTCGGCGTATAGCGAGCAACAGGCCATTTAGGCATGCTAATGCCTCGTGGTTACCGTACTTTTATAGGCGATAGGTAAGAGCACAACATGGAAAATCTGTTAAGGACGTTAATTATACGTTCGTAGGTGTTCTTAGGCGTAGGTTTTTTCGGGTATCTTTTTGGACTTTGCATCGATTTGCACCGACTCCCGGCTGCGAATCCCTAATTTCCCTTAAGATCTTGGAAGGTTTGCGTTGTAAAAATCGTTTAAATCGAAGCTGGTCTGATTAATTTTAGTCCGGAAAAAATTTCTTAAGGTAAGGAAGGTCTGCCAAATCAGTTTCGCTTAATATTTATCGAGTCTAATTTTACGAAAACCGTATGAAAAATTAAAAATAAAGTTGGAATCAAAATCCGTCCTCAACCGGCAAAATTTTCCTGGCTACTCGTACGGTACCGCCAATATTCTGAACGCCAGAGAGGTAGAAGCTCGGATGATCAACGCACTATCCCACTGAGATGGCTCTTGATACAGGCGCAGAACGAAATATACAATTTGTTTTTTTTTATTGGGATATTGCGTCAATTTAGCTTTCGCGATTCTGCGAAATTATTTTTGTGTGAATAAAGCAAAAACAATAAATTTCACTTCAAAAATTTATTTTACAAAAGCAAAACGATAATCTCGATCCCTAGTGCATTTTCTTAGAACTTCAATAACATGAACGTTCTCATGCTAAAGCGTGTTACGCGAGATAGTATGATTCCCATCGGCTGATCGCGCATCCCGAAGTCCCATCGCTATAATTTTTTCCAATTGCTTAGAGCGATCACAATTTAGGGATGAGGATTTAGCAGCTATCAATCATTTTATGAAGCGTAGCACGGAAATATCGAAAAATTCCCACATCTCCTTTCAAATTTGCTGGGAAATTCCGAAATTCAATAATCACCGCCTTGGGAGACGTCCGAAATCAATTTAGTATCGTATTTGGATGCGCTTTCAGTAATACGCATAGCTTTTTAATCTCTATTCAATAAATTAATAAGATAGTACCGAATCCCATCCACCTAACCGAACGCTTGATAAACGTCGACCCCATCCCGGAGAACCGAAAATTTTAATGAAACGCTGGCAGCAAAAAAATCAAAAGCATAAATTACCTGTTCATCTCGTTGTTTGAATAGCTGCTAGACAGAACTCATCGCAAAAAAATTACTTATTTTTAAAAATAGCTGTTCACCGGCAAATATTTGAGCCCTCGGCAGCGTTCAATTTGCACAGGCAATGTTGACGAGTTCGAATCCGGCAGAAGGGCGATATAAAAGTGAGATTAACTCCGTTTAGAGATAATTTGGATCATCTAAATCTTATCTAAAATTACCCTAATTTCCAGTGACAACAGATCAACCCATTTTTGTATTTTTTTGGGCCAAGCCCGAGCGTGATCAATGAAAAACAAGAAATTCGAACTAGTTTTTAAGCGGCTTAGGGCTTCCGAACGCTAGGTGAAAAGCTGAACGCTTATGCAAACGTTTTTGAAACTCTGGAACACGCTATAAAAGGAAAGCCCTGTTTTTAGATTGCCATCACGAACATGACGATTCTGTGGTTAGCTTTCTTGCCGGGCAAGTTTAATATAAAATTTTTCAATTTGAATTTCAGTGGCCTTCGGCGCTCAATTCCCGACGGCCCAGCAGACTGATATCGTTGCGGTGACTCAGAACCTTTACATAACTTTTTAATAATATTTTAGCAACATAATAGTTTTCGATCCACGCTAGCGAAGGGGCAGTATAAGGCCAAATCTGGGGCTGTTTTTGCGGCTGCAACGAATATGCAAAGGATGGTAAGTAGTAGAAGCTGGAAAATCTGTCTGTCTGTCTCTCGCCAGCTTCTCTCTCTCTCTCCCTCTCTCTCTTGCTCTCTCTCTCGCTCTCTCTCTCTCTCTCTCTCTCTCTCTCTCTCTCTCTCTCTCTTGCTCTCTCTCGCACTCAAACTCCTAGCTCGTTTAGATCTGGAACTCCTCCCTAGCCGCTGCCTCTTCAGCATATGCCGATACGTGCCCGGGGCTTGTCCATTCTCGAGCTGAAGGCGTTGGCGAAAACCTGTATATTATTTGGGGCGGAAAACTGGATGGTTTGGGTACGTAATGTACCACAATACGACATCGATCATTTCTTGTGCAGGTAAACAAGCGAGCAACAGCTGGGCCGACGAGTTCAGCCAGTACGGGCCGATGAATTATGAATTTACATACCAGACCGGCCATGCTACGCAGGTATTTTTTAGACGGTGCTGAGTAAAAGCCTTTTTCTCTTTGTAGATGGCCTGGGCTGACACGGCTACAGTAGGGTGCGGTTACGCTTTTTGCCAAAGGGACAAATCGTATTTTGTAGTGTGCCGGTATTTCAAGCAGTAAGGCTTGAGCCTTAAACAATTTCTTATCATTTTTCCAGGGGCAATTGGATGGGCGAAAAAGCGTACGACCAAGGAACAACCTGCTCGAAATGCCCCTCAAAATCCAGCTGCAACAATACGGATGGACTTTGTGGATAATTTTAACTAATAAAATGTTTCCCAAATGTTGCTAGTGACGAATTCGACATATTTAGTGCATTTCGTGACGCCGCTTGAATGTAGTTCGCTTGGTAACAAGGTATGACACATTTGCGTGCAGTCAAAATATTAACAGAACGGAACCGTCGAATTTCCGAAAAAGGGTCAGATGTAAAAATTTGCTAAAAAATGAGGGCTATTTTTGTTTTCTTGCTTCTTCTCGCGGTTGCAGTAGGTTTTGGTTATGCAACTGTTATTGGTGAAAGCTAAATAGGCGGATGATAGAAAAAAACCTTATAGCAAATTAATTTATCACTTACTTGTTAGAAAATTTAAGTTATGCGTACTTTTCTACGTAATCCGCAAAATTATTCAACACGCAAAAGGTACTTTTGGTTAGCGCAATTAGGAGCTTCGAACATGATATCTTCGTAATTTTTGAAAACTTTAAAAGGCAAGCTATTTTGCCCGACAAACATAGTTTCGATGATAACGTGCATATCTTTTTCAGTCTGCCCGATCCTGCTCCTCCATGAGCGATTGTCCCCCGCAACATCGGTGTGATGGCTCCCGTCAATGCGTATTCATCACCACCATTCCAAGGGGACCTATCGGGACGCACGGTCGTCCGTACTACAACCCAGGAACGGCCCCAAAAAGAGACCCGAATACCGCTTTTGTAGCTGCCAGCTTGCAAAGTTCTATTGTTTTTCTCGGAATAACTTGGCTTTTGGCGTAACGTTTCGACCTGTGCATTTTCTCAGCTTTTTTCGATATATTTTGTATAGTACGTTGCAAAAACTAAACAATTTTTATCCAACGCATTCAAAATGCAAAATAAAGACCTGGGGGAATAGAGCGATCAAAAATGACCATTTGGGCATGCGCAAACCCAGAAATTTTTTGGATTAAGGCTAAAGAGCCTTGAAAAGCAAGCAAAAATCGAGCAACAAACGTGCGAAAAACAGAATAAAAACTCGCGATGTTCTAAAATCGTCCTAACGACGGTTTTCCATGCCATTGGCCGCCAGAATAGCGCGGGTTAGGTTGTTAATGATGCGGAAGCGATCGGGGCCGAGGTGGACGCCGCCGTACCATCTGAAAAATCGATTCTTGTTTTTGTAAAATGTCAGAATAGAGGAAAATAGTGATGATTTTGTATTAACATTCTTGAGCTTCAAAAACATACCTCGTCACGACCACCATCACATTCTCGGCGCCCATCTTCTCGATGATGTCAAGCATTTTGGCGGAGGCATGCGTTTCCCCGTCATCTTCACAGTCTTTCAAACTGAAAAAAATAGATATTTTTACTTTTTTTTCGTTGATCAACAAACAGTAGATCTCATCTATTAATATATCTATACATATAATCTCTATTTTAAAATTGATTACTGCATTTTCCAAAGTTTTACCTGACCAATTTCCCGTTTCGCATCTCGTTGCAGCGCCACGCCAAGATGTTGTGCGTCGCCTTCGCGATTTTGTTGTTTTGGAGAAGTTTCTGCATCACCGCTTCGACCTGAAAAAAAGGAGGTTTAGCTTTTAATACCCAAAACTGACCTCAGCTTTCGAATTGACACGAGCCATGTGCGCTTGAAAGATGCTTTTCCGGTCGTGGAACGTCTCGCCGGTGTAAATGGTGGGGAGGGTCAAATCCGAGCGCTCGATTTCCTAAAAAGAACGCTCAAAATGGAGTTGCAAAAAGCGTTTCCCATCAAAATACTAAAACATTTTGATATAATAATTTATACCTGACTACTCGAGGGTTCCTCATCCTCAATATCTTCTAACGAGTCTTGCGTCGTCTGTGTTTCCGTCAAACCGTTCACTTTATCGGTAAAATCTGTAAAACACGTAGTTTTTCGCCGAAAAACAGTTTTGACCTACCTTTCATAATACTAATCCAAGAGAATAGTATTGGCATCCCGATATTTTCGACGTAGGCATCGTTCAGCTCATTTTGCAGTTCGCGTTTCTGATCTTGGGACCATGTCGGGGCTGAGATGGTGAATTCTGGGGGATAACTGAAGAAAAAAGTACGTAGAATTGCTTCAAAAATGCCAAACCTTGAGGGATACTCTGGTGGAAGCGATATACTCGCCGTAAAACCATCCAGGGAGAGTCGAAGACTGAAAAATACAATATTTGGGTTATAAACGTTAGTTTTATATATTTTTGAGCGTAAAAATCAATGCTGTCGATGAACGCAGAAGGTAAAATGCATTAGATTCATTGGTAAGGGTTTCCTATACCTTTCCTAAGCTAGATTAAAACATTTAAAATATAAAAACTAACTTTTTCCCGTCGACAATGCTGATGAGATCTTGGAAAATGCTTTCTATCACCTCCAGCTCCTGCGCTTGTTCATCGATATCCGGCATTTGGTTATTAATTAGAGAATTTAGAGCCGAAACGGAAAAAAGCGGCGTAGAAACCGTTCGGCTATCGATAGCCTGTAATATTAGGCCGTTGCGCGGCCGCGGCGCTTTCCTCTCGTGCAGATTTCATCGCCTAATGGCTGCGGTAGGGCCCGGGGAGAAGCTTAAGAGGATTTCTATTAATTCTTAAATTTAAGTAAAACCTTTATAAAAGTAAAAAAGGATATAAAGAATGCGTTTTGTTGCGAATCACTCATGGTTGGCTACGTCCAATTGCAATTTACACTGTCGTAACGGCACAAAACTGTAGGAGGCCAGCGCAAAACCACGCACTAAAATGAGATATCAATTTCTATGAATTAAATAAGGATGCTTTGGGTATTTTTGTGCTTTAAAAATCACCTTTTTACGGAATTTACTTAAAAATCTCTCCCCGTGCTCCAGTTACCAAATTTTTGCAGGCTTCTCCCGCACGTCCGGGCCGACCCCGTCAAATTAGGGACCATCTTGCAGCAGCTAGTTGTAGAAAAGTCCGGTAGAAAAGTCTCTTCTCTTCCTACCGTTCTCTAAAAATCGCCCGCCCATCAATCAGCTTGAAGGGAATTACCACCACCCATCCCCCCGCCGCCACAAGAGATATTGGACCGGACGCATTTCTTCAAAGGTCTGCGCCCTGGTAGATGAGAGAGCACGAACGAGTGAGAGACACGGCCCGGCGTGACGTTGAAAGATCGGCGGAGTACGAGCGCGCGGCTGGGGGACCGATTTGGCAACAGGGTACGGTAGGTGGGGGCGCGAATTTAGTGGGTAGAGGAGGACAAGAATAGGATGTCTGCAGAAGGGTGACAATGGAACGGCAAATTAGACACGGGGATGCCGGTGGGAGATGAACTTTCGGCGCACGTGTGTGGGTAAAAAACGGCGCGGAAAAGCTTGTAGTTCGATCGGCACACTGTTCGAACGCTGGGTGCATTTTAGAAATTGGTTTTCGGCAGCCCAGCGAAAAGTGAAAATAGGATCGTCAAAAATTTTGGGATGTTTCTCAAAGCATTCAAGCTTTTGTCGTAAGCGCGACACGCGACGCACACGCAGCTGGGCTTGCGTAGTGTGTCGCGGCGCGTCGACCAAACAAAATTCACAATGGACAAACCTACAACTATGCCTAGCTTCGAATTTTTGCCTCGGAACCACTACAGTAACTCGAGCAGCGGAAAGAATTAGCAAAACCCCAAATTACCGCCAAAAAATGCCGACGTTCAAGATAGCGAGATCTAGTATAACAGCAGGAAAATCCGGCTACGGTTTACTTTACCCCCGCCGGAAGTTTTGGCTATAACATTTTATTTTACATTATTGTAGGCTCAAATTAAAACCTTATATATTTTCGACCTCTATCGAATGGCGTTGCAAAAGGCCCGACAAAATAAGTGAAAATACCGACAACGTTCAGACCCTTCGGCTGTGGGGGGGGGTAATTCTTTTACGGAAAATCCCGACATGCAAAACTGTTGATAGCTGTTTAAGTGGAAGGATCATTTAAACCAGCGTCAAGATTCGGTCGGGATTTAGGGTCTCGGTATTTTGGTCGTCGGGATTTTGGTTGTCGGGATTTTGGCTGGAAATTCGATGCATGATGGAATTGTCATCAACATTCTCCAAAATTCTCGTTTTTCCTATTAGTGTCAGTAGGATGCTATCGGAATTCCTCGTTTTGTCTTTCAGCCGACTGAACCAGCCCCCTGATCGTTGGCTTTCCCTTCATCCCATAAAACACTATTTTTGATGAGCGATCCCCGATCACACCGCCCATCCATCATCATCGGTTCTGCACCCCCAGATACGGTAATCCGGGGCGACGTGCGCAGTCCAATCCAACGTGTTCTCACCACAGGAATTAAGGGGGTTTGGATGAGGAACCTAGGCGCGTGGGCCAGCCAGACCAACGTGGGACGAGGTAGAAAATCAGTGGGTGACGGGGATCAAGGCAGGTTTTCCGGGAAGGAAAATCGGGCTTGCTTTGTGTTATGGACTTGATACGACTTTGGTCTTTGAAAGGCCAGTTTGTGCAATTTTATGAGTTGCGCTCTAGGTCTGAACGCGTCATGCTCTCGAAGAAGCCTAAGCCTAAGCCTAAGCCTAAGCCCAAGCCTAAGCCTAAGCCTAAGCCTAAGCCAAAGCCTAAGCCTAAGCCTAAGCCTATGATTATCTTGTCCTTAAGCTGGAGCTTACGAATCATGTGGAACAAGTTTCTTAAAATTCCTATGTCCACCCCAAAAAGCCGCCAAATAGAAAAAAAGATTTCTGATCCCAAGAAGTGTAATAAAAATCAGCGTTTTTGATTGATCCCTCTGTTTTCCAGCCAGTCCCAGACTTTCCTTTAGTCCATCTGGTCGAGTATCCCCGATTTTCTCCTCGATTCTTATAAATTTTTGACCCGCGGCCAGTGGCTCTGATCATCTTCCTGCTATTCCCTAGTCTCTCTCACCCTTCACTGTCTCTCTCCTTCTCTCTCGTTGCTCGCCAATCTTTCAGGATTCCCCCATCATCTTTTTGGAATGCCCCCAACGTGTGCCAAATCCCAAAAATGAAGATACCGTAATCGAGAAGAGATACCCA